CAAAAGCGTGTTCATTATCGATTCGATAAATCAGGAGGATAGACTCATCGATAATTTGAACGTTTAATTTCTCATTTCTTCGGGCATTCGAATTTCTAAATGCAAGATTTTATATCTTGGAAACGGAAGATAATGCAGTCAGCGTCGAATGCGAGGAAAGGCGTTCTATATTCTACATTATTAAATGCAGCAGATTCGAATAAAAATACTAACGTACACTTGCATCGGTATCTCGAGCAGTTGATGCTCAATACCGCATGCTCGAACGGCCAATAAGAACGGGACTCGTAGGAGCTCGTCAAGATCGGTTCGCGTGATAATTTGTTAATCATCAGAGCGCCCTTGTTAATGACGCACGGCGTTCCTGTTTCTTAATTGCTTCGCGATACGTAATCCTATTTGAAACAATATCACTGCTGTCATAAGACGACTGATTGATTCTTCGTGTTGACTCCAAAACATTATAGCACAGAAGAGCTTTTGTCCATAAATGATATTCTTTAATTTTTCATAATCAGTGAAATTTGTAATCAATTTTTTTATCAGCTGCTAGACACCCTATATATTAAATGCACTTGTGTAATTTTTAATTAAAAAATTTGAATGCATCGTCGATATACCTATTTACGTATGTCGTAAGAAATAACTTCAGATTATAAAAGGTTAACATTAATTAGTACCACACGAAACACAGTGTATTAAACGATGGTGTACATAACGTATTGTTTCTTTGTTTTCGATTGGAGACGTAAGACAATTGAATGTTATTTTCACTTGAATGGTTTCTTTTAAATGAGAACACGAATGCTTCTGCAATAGCTGTCATAATAGATAAAGCAAATGGAAGAAAGTATTTGTGTCAGACATAAGTGAAAGAAGATCGACTGCATTCAATCTGGTTAGATGATATTTTAGATTATTTAAATTGAGTGAATTCTTTCTTTAAAAAAAATAAAATTATTTTTAATAATCGCAGAAGAAGTTTCGCGAGTAACTATATATTTCAAGTGAACTGAAAAAATTTAAAAGTATATTTCAGGTCAAGTAAATAACAGATTTATATTAATCAAGTGGTTTCGACCACTACTGCAATTTAAACAACTTGACTAATCAGAACGAGGCTTAAGGACCTTGTAAATGAGTGCAGTAATGGTCATGCAAAATAATTTATGCAACACATGAAGTAACGTTTATTAATAAACATACTCGCAGGTGTACAGAGAAATTTTTAATTGTCACTTCAGCAGCGATGACGAACAAGCTGTTCTTACAGTTTAGTCTACGGTTTCAACAATATTCCCTTAAAGTCAATTTCATCTTCGGATGTCTTTACTGACTCAAAAATATTTAACAATTCTCAGTTTAATGTCCACAAGCCATAGAAAATTAATTTGAAAAATCCATTTTACTTTGTTTTAGTTTTTTGCTTGGAAAGGGCGTTTATTTAAATAGCAAGAATACATGTATAAATCGACAAATAACTATAGTGAAAATATTTTTAATTAACTTTTGAATTAACATTTCTTACGAAGAAATGTCGAAATTTTAATGAAATCAATTAATTAATGACAACGGTAAAAGCGAACACTTAATAATGAACATTTAATTAGTTGCTCTGATCCTTATCACTTATATCAACATGAACTGTATATCAACATGAAACTGATGTCATTGAATCAAAAAAGAAGAAGAAATCAAGAAAAGGAGAAGCGGTGTTCAGGCGGGTTCGAAGCGGATTGAGTACACGCGCACGCGCTCCTATCGCGTCAGCCGGACGGTTCTCTCTTTTCCCTCGTTTGGCTGATTAAAATTAAAAACTACGTCGAGCAAACGCTGTGACACCTGCACAAATCTACATACTGGATCGACGGGTACGCGTCTAACCCGTCCTCGCGGGTAGATACACGCGACGCGTTGCCTCCGCACACGCGCCGCCACTTTCGAATCGATCGACCTTGCCAATCGATCGCAGCTTCTCGAACGATCTCTTATACAAACAATTGAAAAAATCGAGAAAATTCAACAATTTGGAATAATCGTTCTTTCAATAATCGAGACAGTGATGATGCGACTTTGAACGTTTGACCGAAAAAGAAAAAACTAAACCGATGGATTGACATACGCACAACTGTCAATCATCCGGCAAAGCAGACAATTGATAGTTCGCACGTTGGGTCGACATGGAGTAATTAAAAAGACTACAATTAGAAACGGATTCTTCGCGGTGCATGACGGATTGTGTGAACAGGAATTGTGGCCGTGTCACGCGAACGAACGTTTGCAATACCGGGAAATCTGGATTGGACGGTTTTGCGAAACAGACTCTGCGGCGATGGGACAACGAATCGTGAAATGCTTGCAGCTTGATTTATGGGACAGCCTCGTTCAACGAAGAGATTGCATTCTTCAAATACTCAGTGGTACTATTGAGTTAGCTGGGTTTGTTACGTGCAATACCATCCAGCGTTCTGAATATTTTCATGTTACGGTAACTCGCGAACATGGAATAGCATATTTGTAAATTGTCGTCAATTATGGATGTATTGCTGAAATTAATTAAAATAGTAAGGGTAATAAATCTATCAGTTTTTACGCTACTTGCAAGAAAAATTCGAAGTTAATTAGCTTCTAAATTGATTAAAAAATAAACAATACTCTTTCCTTAATTTCTGCAGGACGGTAATTTATTATCTCACTTAAATAATTACACGTTTCTCTTTTGTCTCAACAAATATATTATTTTCGATCAGGAATCGTATCATGTGCATACAAAAGGACCGAAAATCCATCAGATGTAGACGCAAAAAAATCCCCTGATTATACAATGCATTTGTATTAATGAACCAAATATATCCAGTCACGACGTGGCACGCGCTTTTTGTTTGAATCGGGCCAGGTCTGAACGCGGACAATTCATTATTTCCGTTTGTTATATTCGATAAATGTGGCGTGAGGTTAAAATGATTTTAATTTATACCGTGGTAGATTGCATTCGCCGAGAGAAAAGCCGCAATTAGTTATCGATTGAATTAAAGAAAAATCATTAACTTGATTTTATTTACGTTAATCTAGAAACGTATGACTACAGTTCTCAACAGGAAGGGTTAAACATAAACTGTACTGAGTCACAGTCAACAATTACCTATCATTTGTCATGCTAAGGTGGTCACAATAAGAACCGTAGAAAAAAAAAATTCTGAAGCCATAGACTCTTTGAAGACACAGGAAAAATATGTGCCTACATACTCATTACGCAATCTTCACCCCTGTAGATGAATGAATTTATAGAGCGTGTCGATCAAGAGATCGAAGGTCTCTCAATCTGCCCACGCCTAGAGTTAGCTGTTTCCTTTTCCTCGATCCGCGTAAGGGAGCCTAAGTGATCGTAACAACGGAAAAGGATCCGTACGCGTATGTGCAGGCGCACGTAACCGAGGACAGCAATATCGAGGGTGGGATTTATGGGGCATGACGGAGATTTACGACGCTTCTCGTGTCCATGGGCTTCATGCACGGCTGGATCGACGGGACCTTGTTCCGCTCGCTTTCGACCGTCTCGGAACTTCTTTTCAACGGTGACCGTTGTCGCGGTGCACCGCTGCACCGATGCACCTGCACTCACGATCGCGTAATCAAGAAACGTCAGATGCGCCTGTGACCGAATACGAATCGGGTTCGGGTTCAACGGAACGCGTGGGAGAACTCGTGGTGGTACGTGCCATTGAATCGTAATCGTGTCGATTTGGCTCATGGTAAATCGCTGCTGTTTCTCTTACCGTCAGTTCTTTTAAGGGTGCAAAGTATCGAATTCTTAATTTATAATCTTGGATGTGAGATCAATTTGCACTGTCTCAGTAGGATTTCAAATACATAGTTTTCATCGCTGAAGAATTTTTCCATTAATATTGAAAGAATTTTATTAGTCACAAACAGTCATTTTGTATGAATCACTCGTCGGTAATACATTAATAAGCGTTCTGAAACGTTGAGTGATGACTTCCTTCTATAATAGTACTATTAGATATGGTCTATGATACATTCATTTACTAAAGACATGATTGACAAGATATACTTATGTCTATGAAATATTTATTTGAAAATAATATTGAGAAGATAACCGGATCAATATCTACGAAACAGGAAATGATAAATAAAAAATGAGAAATACAAGATAATTATTCTTGGTGTTTATGCCATTCAACGTTGAACGTTGAATAATTGTTTCAGTTACACCCAATATTAAATAACCTTTTTGCGTAATGGACATTGAGCAAAAATATTTTCAATAACAGTTTATATTTTTGTTTATGACCAGTACCACGAATTTAATATAACTATATATTCGAAGAAACAGATGCAAGAACATTTTTATATAATTGAGAAATTAAAATATTGTAATTATTATAATAATCAGTATTTTAGTAATTATTTTATTATTCATTTAATAAAATTCACGATCGACCGTCTTTAATTTACCTCCCAATCGGAAAATATTAAACAAATATTAAATATGAAAGTATTAAATAAATATTAAACGTGGAAAAGCTTTGTAGCAATTAAATCCGCGATATATGTTCGAATGCAATTTATTAAAATTGAAATTACGAAATTTAAAAATTCGAATTAATTACGATCGACGCGTTCGTTCCTACAATACATTCGGAACGAGCGAATATTTATTCTGTGTTTTTGCAGCTTGTAAATTGTTTCCACGAGCATGTTTACTCCGAAAGGCTACGAACGAGCCGGTATTATTGTGAAAATTTATATAACCAAACAGAATTTTGCCTAAATTGCTTAATTAGCGGGCTGCAGTTTTAAACATATGCTTTAGTTACATGTGAACGATACACCTGACATTTTTAATGATGCTAAACATTATTACAATAATATAATGAATCCTTTTTAGTTTTATAGAACTTTTGATATTTTTTGCATATTTATTTATCAATTATAATTTTAGCAGTCATTATTATTTTTCTAAATTAAAAATAATTCTTGAATTAAAGTTTTCTTAAATATCCTATAAAATAAATCACACTTTTATGTAAATATTTGTCGAGAAATGATCCAGACAAGGTTAAACGTGCATTTATTTTTTATTCTAGTGGTAACCTTTTCAACCCTTTTTTTTTTCAAAGCTTTACATATGTAGAACTTTTCGTCGGTGTATCAGTGATTTGATCGATGCCTCCGGCTACTCGTTTGTTTCCGCTGTAATCTGTCTCTCTGTGTGGCCGTCGATCATCAAACGTAGATATCAAAGGGGACGGTTCGTTCTGCGATCTATCCTCCAAGATCTCTATCTTCTACCAATCCTTTCTTTCACAGTTATACTCGCCTTGTAGCCTCGAAGACGAATCGAATTTGGAATCAGAGATCCAATATTAATAATGATACAACAGGATTGGAAGTAATCATTAGGGGGGATCTAAGAGATCCAACATTAAACCATGATATTAATGATAGTAGTACTAATACTCTGATTCACCTTTTGATTCAGGTCATCGAATTAAAGTGCATCGTTTTATTGTGCTGTCTTTATTCAACATTTTTACTTTTAAATCATTCCTCTTGTTATATTTTCATTTTCCAAAATGGTATGTCTATTCTAGAGGGCCAAAGGATGTTAATTTTTAAGAATTTTGTTTTAGAAAATCTTATTGAATCTTTGAAATAAATGCTTTCCCATTTAAAAAAATGCATTTTTAAGAAATTGGAATAATTTTATTTGATGCAAAAATACTGCAGGGTGCCAATTGAAGGGTTCATTTGATAAAATTAATAATCCCTGTGCTTTTAAAGAAATTGCACGTATGTATCTACGTATGTGGATCTCGTTCGGTTCATTTAACAGTCTGACCCCATCCTCGCCGCAAGTTTCTTCTTGTTAAAATCTACGGCATGATAAATGAACTGCCGATGCCGCTAACCACGTCGAAATGCGGCGACGTCCGCTCGAATAATCACGAGATAATTACTTTCCTGCATACGGTCCGTCCAAACCGCTCAAAAGCCGGATCTTCAGTGTTCCCGAGGGAGTTCCAAGGATTCATGAGCGGACGGACGCGTTAAACCGCAGGAAGGAACGGTCTTTCGCTGATCCGGATATCTAACTCGATTGCAATTCCGAATGCAATATTTCTGTTTGTTATCATTACAAAATTATATTCCGCTGTTTCTTTTAATCAAATTTTGTTTTCCATTCTCCGGTTATTTTTCGGTAGTTCTGATATAAAAATACGCGAATATAATCGCAATGTTCGCCATTAAAATGGTCAAACTTCTCAGTTTCATGGTCAGCATCCGGTATCGAATCTCCGCTCGCGGGAAGCGGCGAGTCCGGAGGGCGTCAACGACGATAGGTTTATCGAGCGACGAACCGTGTTATCGTCGGGGTACGAAAAAAGCAAAAGAGGAAGGGGGGAAGTCGGAGAAAAAAAGGACTAGGAGAAGGTGGTGGCATGGTGTTGACGAAATGGACGTACGCGCGATAGATAGCATCCTCTCCCGGAAATCAGACGCGTCGGATGACGAAACGTTTAGCCATGTCGACGCGAAACCGCGGAGTCGACGAACTGTTTATAGTGCGAAAACAACGCCGACCAGCAAAACATTAACACTGTCTAAACCGCGGAGCCATTTATACGCAGCCCAAGTTGAAAACAATAAAACTGAGAAACTGGAAATGCTATTAGGAGTAGAAATGATTTCTTGGTCGATTTCTGAAAAATTTTGAAATATTCATTCTAATATTAATTTATTAAAAAACACTTCTATTTCTAAAGTCTAAGGAAATCTAGTACGAGATATGCAGATTGGAAATAGAAACATTCTTTAAAAGAGCTGTCGTAGCGAAAGCTTGCTGCCAAAATTCTGATGCGACTGTCTTTTTAAACGTTTTGTGTACACGCCGTCTGGTGACGAATGCGATATTTGCAAAGTTGATACGTTAGCGAAGTCTGATAAAAATTTGAATTGTTTATATTGATTCTGTCTGAAGCAAACCTTTGTTAATATCGATTAAAAAATAGTTCTTAAATTTGAATACAGATCAAAACATGTTTAGTTGCATTTTTAGCGTTTAAACGATATTTCCATTAGGCAATTATTGGTCGATATAATCAAATCGTTTAACTAAATGATTTACACTATGATTAAATGAAATATACTGTATTGTTCGATTCGTGTATACCTTTGCTTTAGAACTTTCGCTCTCTCTGCTGTTTCTATTTTTTTCTGATTTTTCATTTTATTTTATTTTATTTTATTTTTTGTTTTTTTACGTGAACGCGACAGGTAGTTGAATTCTATAAGCGATTTTATCGCGACGATCTGCGGCGAGTTAAACGAAACGTAGCGAGTTATTTTCGCGGTATTTCGCCGGGACAGAACAGTCGTTTGTTTTATGGCAAATCGATATAACCATATTGCGCGATTATACAAGTTTATCGAGACGAAGAGAAATCGTCCAGTTATAAATTCTGGTCGGTTTTGGAGGCGATCGATTATTCAGAGATGACCCAACTGCATGTGCCATTTCGAGGTTTCTGTACAAAAATACAGCGGTGGTAATTGAGATTAAAATTAGTCTGGCGATTGCTGGAGAATGCTAAATATTATACCACTTTCTTGAGAATGCATATTTTTTGAAAGCATGATAAAATTGGAAACGGGTCAATTCATATAAAATTGAAAAAGATGGTCTTCATTGTCCTTATTCAATTGTTCTAATTTTCGAAAAATAATACCTACATAGAACGTTTCAAAAGCAATGTCTGTTTCGTATTAATTTCACGTCATCAACTGAGATTAGCCAGCAATCAGGCTTCATTCAAACAGCATACGTCATTAGGATCATCCATGATCGTGGATCGATGGATCCACGTCACAGGAATAACGGATCCTGAGTCGTAGTTCAGAATCCTATTTCTCGGTGCATGGGCCACGGCCATTCTGCTAATTAATGTTTACGATTTCCATTAGCGCGTCGCGACCACAGTTGCTTTGACTTCCTGCGAGGGAAATGCAAGCCTCCACGCGTGTACACGCTTGCACGCTTAAAGCTACTAGCAGATACATCTCATTTCTGCGACTGAAAACTATGGGTTTTTTTACATTTATCTACTGTGTTCTGGGTTTAAATTCACATTAATATGCGGGGATAATGTTCATTTAAGTTGTATATGACTTCAATTAAATTCTTTTGATATGATAATAAGTACTTTGATAAATGTTTTAATATTTGCTCCTTTTAACTGAGGTGATACGAATTAGGTAATTTTATTACTTAATAATATATGGTATATGGAAGAGGTATCATGAAATATTAATTAATTGCCATGAATGTGATTATGTTTGTATTTTTCTTTTTTAAGAGCTGCTAATTATTCTTTTTGTCTTGAAACATCGGCTAATTAGATGTTATCCTCAATATAAGAAACTATTATAATCGCGATGTTCAGTGTAGGTCCATTATTTAATTACAGTCGTAATTTGTGGTAAAATTAAAAATACATCATCATATAACCGTAATTAACAATCCCTGACATTTAATAAATGTAATAAGTGTCTTACCATTTTTATGCAGTAACGTATTCTGTATAAGAAGAATACATTGAACTTTTAATCTTCTTTATCCGTAAGAACACCATAAGATATTCGAATGATACGAGTAACGAAGGGTGAAAGAAATTTGCCATTAAACGAAACAAAACGACGAGCACGTATGTTAAATTCGTTCACATTCCGCGCGTACTTAAAAGCGTCGGATCGATCGTAATAAGAGCCGAAATTTATGGATGCACGATAAACTCGAAGATTTACAGCGCTATCGCCGTTAATAAATAACAAAATCGTCGGGCAACGGTCGTCTGAAAACACAAAAGGCCGGGCCAGCACGAAGTGTAATTTATAAATATCGCTCGGCCAATTTGTTCGCGTCCCTGAAGCGATAATTTCGCGGGTCCGATAACCCGCTCGCATTGTCCATCGATTCATAACTATCGTCGCGTTCCGCCGTTCGAGATATCGCCGGACATCGTCTGCCTTTCGCTCTTTCCTTTGCCTTTTTTATTTCTCCCTTTTATGGGGTGACGCTCGTGACACCGCCATTACCCGTACGATGGACCACCGTGACAATACAGAATTCAGTTCTTAGGTCTGAAGAAAGATAGGTACATTTAGTCAAATGGAGACTTTGTCGATTTTCTTTTAAATTCTTTAAATTAGTGTAAAAATTTTTATTTTGGGAATTGCTGCAATTTTTTATTAAGAAACACCGTGAAAAATTGATTTTCTAAATAATAAATATTAATACCTGAATAGATGTTTTTGCTACTGAAAGTAACAAAAAATGTGTAATCTGGTTGAAATATCAAGTATTGTGTGAAATCAGCAGGTGTCTTAATACTTTTGGCCAGGGGTGTACGTTGAGCGCAATGAAAGGGTTAATATCGGTCTCAGGTTATTCTCAATTGTTGAACACCTTGTACATGCAAACTTGCGCCACATGTCTAGCACAGTTCAATGACCAAAGTTGCTGCAACACACCGCCGCGTCCCGGCGTCATGAAGCATAATGCAGTGCAATTTTCGTCGAATGTGCAATCGCGCCAGGTGCACACAGTTGCAAAGAGCATCCCCAAACGTGACGATCCTCTAGCGCTCACGGAACAAGTTCCCTCGCGGGACACCGCGACCGGAAGAAACATTTGCCTTTCACGGGATAAACGGGGACGGCAATCTGAGTTTTAGTTCATTAACAGGATTTGCGCTAATGCAAGTTTAAGCTTACCAAGATTCCAAAGTGGTATTCAAACTATTATTACACAAGGTGGATCGAAACTGACAGAGCAATTTGAATATAGATAATTCTATAGGAAGAAATTTAACACGAGAGGGTGTTTTTCTTTCCTTTTTTTTTACTTTATTATAGATAACTTTATTATTTAAATTTTCACTAGCAACTTTCAATTGAAAATTTGTCCATTATAGGCCACTTCAAATAAATTAATAATTAATATAATTCCAGCTCGTGGACGTCATTAGTAAAATAAAATATAGCAATCTCGTATGGGAAATTGAAGTTATTGCATGTGCCTATGTATGATTATAGTAATTACATTTTTAATAATTCCTGAGGTATTAAGTCGGATTTCTCAGAAATCAAACTACTTATAGAAATACTTATTTTATAATGTAGGTGCTCAGTTTGGAACATCTGTTATTGAATTTGTAATGCTAATACCATTTTCCGATTATTTCAATCTTGTTATTTAATCTATAAAGGTTTCATGCAATTTCTCTGTTTTCGTTATTGTACTATTTAAAATATTTTAACACATTTATAGAAGTTCTAATTTGAAAATGTAAAAGTTATAAAAAAGGTCTGCCTGTTCTTTAAGGGTTAATCATATCAGTTCCTCTTACTTACCCCTTTCCACCCTTGATGCATCAATTTTTTTCTAAAAAATATCATTGTAACTGGAGCAACCGAGTTGCATTTATCTTACAGTCTTCACTCGGTCGTTTAATCGAGCGCAATAACGATGTTTGTAAATCGCATGCCACTGAAATCGTGGGTTGAAATCGTGCAAGGAAAATGGCGCGGACGGCCACGATGTTTCGCATATTTGGGGTGAAAAGCGGGGCCCGTGCGTGTAGGAGCATTTCAGCCGAGGGATGGATTTTTTTCGTTCGTCCAATCGGCACGCCATAGGAGAAAGATGGCGTTCACCATAATTTATGCACCCCATCTTCGCGTGCGTGATTTTTGTTAGGGCCGTACATGTACGTGCATTGCGCGTGGAAAAACGGGCAGATGCTGGGCCGCCGAAACTTTTCGAAATGTCGAACTGTTTTGAATGTCACCTCGAATTGAAACAAAAAAAAAAAGAGAATAGTTTGGTTACGCGTTGACATGTGAACAGAAAAATGTTTGAAAAAAAATGATACTGCAGATAAAGGGTGAAATTGAACGTGAGAGTTCGGGGTGTGTGAGGGATGTTTCATTGTGATTTTGATTTTAAACAAAATTATCTGGGAGTATGTTTTGCTTTAAAAAATAATTTAATATGGACATAGAGTGTATGATATCTTTTTTATTATTTTTTAAAAAATTGTATTTAATAAGAAGAAATTACAACTTCCAATTATTTTATACAATTTTTCAAAATATTTATTTCTGCTTTTATTCTGGTTTCTAAATCAAGCTTGACTATTTCAAGCATACTATTTCATAGTGAAAAGCTAAACAGGCCGCCGAGTAACTTAGAAACTCTAGATAAGAGGAAACTAAAAAATGCAGCAACGTTTGTGTGAGTACTCGAGTTTATCAGCTCCTCCTTATCTTATTCAAGATGAACTAGAATTTTTCTAGTGTCTAGGTCATCTTAGCTTCACTTGAAAATGTTTCAATTACTTCGAAAACAGTCTTGTTAAGCAATTTTGTAATATTAATAAATTCCTAGAATCATAAGGGAAACTTATTATATTTCTTGTTGGTTAATATAATACTACTTATGTATGTATTATATTTCATTTTTTATTTGATCATTTCTCATTAATTCTCTTGAAACAGACAATAAAAAGTGTTGTGAATTCGCATTTGAAAAAGTCAACCTAATTACAAAGCAACAAAATTCGTTAAATTCATTAATTTCACCTTGGAAAATAAAAATTACCCTTCAAGCAAACCGACCGCCATAGGTGATTTCAAGCGAACGCGGTAGGCAGAGAAAACGCAGCAACCTTCAAGCTCCCTCACCCCTCATGCAAATATCCATCTGGAGCCCATAAACGGCAACAATTTGTCGAGGAAACCGTACGTGTCTCACCGTGAAAAATATCATCGCGACTGACGCATGCTAATTCAACGACCAGGGACCAGGATCCTCTCGTCGAGATGTCTTATCTCCACGGGGGTTGTAACGCTAGCAGAGAAAAAAGAATCGGGTACAAGTTAGTGGGGGTGGCATCGAAGCAGAGACGTCTAATAATCACCCTTGTACCATGCCTCGTGCGCTTCTCGAAGACAGTTGGGCTCTCTATTTAATCTCCAAGTGACAAATGGCCCTGGCACTGATTCGTTGAGTCAAACATAATCCTGTCACCGCATACAAACATCGATCGGGACCAATATCGACGAGGAACTATCAGCCACCCTCGTGAAACTGGTAAAATGAATACAGAGCCATTGTGGGGAAAGAATTCTTTATTTAACTTGGAATTTTCTACAATTTCTGATATACTCTATTGATAAACAATTTGATATTTTCTAATTTGTCGACGATATCAGTGTTTGATTACAACTATTACTGTTATAACTATGACTGTTACTTCTATGTAATCCATGGGAATATATTTCTACGACTATGTTCGGTTGTCGTCTGTATCTGATGTTCGTCAATATTGGAACTCGACCAGTGATAAGGCTGTACCGGGATGGAAACTTGATATTGTTATCGTTAATCGGAGAAAAATATCGGCTTATCGTAGGCGCGCGAATTATCTGCTCGCCACTTTCATATAGGATTATAGATTTTGCAATAATTTATTTACGTTCACCAAATTTTTATTTAGCAAAAACCGAATTCTGGTCATTTGAATTTTTTACCACCTTTGGATCTCTGATTTTATATTCAAATATTTTATTATAAATATCCCAAAATTTAATAATTTTATCTTATAATTATAATTAAATTTATAATTACTTTGTTTTATTTGTCTCGTGTGTTTTGATATTAATTATCGTTGTTTATTTCAACTTCAAGAATTTGAGTGTTTATGTAATTTTTTACAATTTTAGCTGCAAAATACAGTGAAGAGTTTAGTCAGAAAATTATTAGTCCTATATAGTATTAAAAAATATTTTTTATGAAGGTTTTATTATTTGTGTTGCTGTCTTTTAAGTTGATAAAAACAGCTTACAGTGTCTAGACTAAATTTAAGATAATTAGTATAGCGTTAAACTTGTGTTTATCTCTGCTTATATTTTTCAAAACAACGATCTTTTCTTCTCAGAAATCCGTCTCTCTCCTGTGCTAAAATTAACTGCAGACGCGTTGAATATTTACGTCTTCTTCATGGTTTTCAAAATATTTTTACCATAAGTCGTGCATTGTGCACTCAAATCAGGTTTCCTCGAGAAAAATGATGATGTTTCGAGTTCTCGCTCTTCCCTTTGGCCATCCCCAATGTTTATAGCACTTTTTTTCTTTGAATTCGTCCATTTTGCAAGCTTAAAATAATTTAAAATTATATTTGATATTTTAGTCTCCTAGACTGCTCTTTTTAGGATCTTTAAAAATAGAAAATATCTATGTTAGAAAGTTAAAGTTATTAAGAGAACGTTACTTTTTGATCTTATCAATTATGCAAAATCAACTGACACACGATTATTGATTTACGTTCGTAGACATTTCCTGTTCTTAGAATTCCATCTCTCTTTCGAGCTCAAAGTAACCGGAAACACCTTAAATATTTGCATGTCCTATTACAGCGCTGAAAATATTTCGACTGCCCCTTTTGAAGTCGTGCGTAATTCTTCACTCACCTTCCCAGACATTTTTCGCCGAAAAAGTCGTCTCTCTTTCAGATTCAAAATAACCAGCAAATCATTGAATTCACTCGTGTCTTCTATTTTTTGTCTGAATTTCTCTTTTCTTCTTTATTTTTTCGTTTTGTATCACAAATATTTTCTAACGTCTACCTCTTCCGACATACAGTAAGTAAATAAAATATCGATTCCTTCTTTTACTTAAAAAAGAAAATATTTTGAACTTCGGTATTTGAATTTGCAACGTCAACAACAATAAGAGGAAATCAGATACGCAGTTTGATAAGTAAATTAATCGATGAGTTGCTAATCAATCGAGACAGTTCGATCATAAGCGAAGACAGGGTTTCGACATGATCAATTGTGATCATGATAAGTAAGATAACTTTGATTTCGCGGTATTTACGTAAAACTTCAGGGTCATGTGTTGCACGGTCAAGCGTCGCGACGAATCGATAATTAATGGCTAATTATTCTCTGCGACGGTTTTGTCCCGAGACTGATTTCTACTTTTTTTGAGAGCGCATTTTCCCAAAATCATAGACAAAATTAATATTTTCGATTCTGAGGTAAATTACAATATAATGATTTTTTGAAAGCATAATAACGAATACAGAATAATAACAATTTTGGACTTTATATTTATTGGACATTTAGTGATATTGGATAAGTATATATTTTTAATTGAAACCCGTTGTTCCTTTCTCGGGTACTTCAGATTATTATACATATATCAAATAGAGGTGGATGACATCTGCAGGATTTTCTTTATTATTATTATTTTTTTTTTTTTTTTTTTTTAACAATATGCAATACATGTACACATATGAACAAACAATTTACTTTTCTAACATCAAATTAAGGCTCTAAATAGTCTTTTAGGAATAGTGTAATAAATTCAATGTATCGGTATATTAATTTAATAATATCTATCAAATAATACTTATATTTCAATAACAAATAGAAATATGAATACAAATATTCTGACCATAGATCTTAATGCAAATATATGTTTTTATAAAATATTTTTTCCCTTCAGGTGATTGAAAGTATTACCTTCATTTACACATTTTCTGAATAATTTATTTCATTTCTTCATATATTTTTTGTGTACTCTGATATGTTATGATTGCATAAGCTTCCGTAGATTATCGATGATATTTTACATTTCATATTAATTTTATGTTATACCAATACGATCTGAAATCAATAATATCTACTTTACATTTTTCTAGATATCAAATTCAAAAGATTCCAGAATTTTTATAAGTGGAATATTCTGCCAGTGCTGAGAAAGTAATTGCAACAATTATTTAGAATTTTTAAATATTCAGTTTTTCATAATTTTTTTTAATACAATTTAACGGGACTTAGGTTCAAAATACTTTTTAATCATATAAAGCCATAAAAAACAATACAAAATTGTAGTTATATTTTATACCCATAAACATGCACATGTGTCTAAAAATAAACGAATACCTTCTCTACTTTCAAATTTATTCCAAGATGGTACTTTAAATAATTAATTCTTTACTGTTCATCGAACTACCATGGATGGATTTACATTCTTAATTATAGCCTCGTAGTTTGAAGAAGCCGTTCTTCAAGGGCATTTTTAACTAAATTTCAAATCATAGATTCGATTGGTAAGCGAGAAAGCGTGGCATACTATTTTTGGAGGTATTGCCAATTCCACTTGTTCTTCCTTTCTTTCGAATACTTGCCATGTTCTACGTGTTCTGTTTTCGATAAAAGTTTGACTGGAATGACGGGTCTGTTTTTGGAACGTGAATCGTGGTACCTTAATCGATGGAAATTTCAATTCGAAATATTTATCTTGTCGTTTGCATATCATTCACAAATATACTTTTATTCGAAGAAGAGAAAATTTGGAATACTGTGCTTATTTCACTTAATTGCATTAAATTTTGATTTAAAAACAAAATTAAAATTCATGATAAAAATTTCAAAAATTAATATATTCCTTTGTAGACCCAATTCAGAAGAATATTTAACATTTAAAAAACAGTATCTTTCCGATTTTTCATCAGGAATTTTGTTTAGCTGTAAAAGCGGATTTTTTTTTTTTTTAACCGGACCAGCTTTTACTACACTGTTATTAAATTTTTTATCAACGTAAAATTCAACTAGTATTCTACCATAAAAATTGATTGAATATTTCAAAAATTCAGAAAATAATATTTTGTTGCAAGAATATTTTAAATAAAAGAATTTCTATATTTTAGAATCCATATAACGAATAGAATCTTTGAAAACATTTTATTACACGAATTTTTTAAAATGCATTCACCAACTCACATCTGTTAAAGCATTTTACCACATGGGAGTGTTTTTCAGTTACATAAAACCACTAAAATCAATTATTCTCACCAATTTCAATATCAATATCATTTCTCTTAGAATTTTCCAAAACCATTTATCGCACATGCTAAAATCACAAGAATGACCCCAATATTTCAATAATACGGTAGACATTCCTAAAATCGTTTCACCGACGAACAGAGACAGAGAGCTGAATCACGAGGTAGCAAAGTGATCCAGCGCGCGATCGATCAGCCACGAAACTGTGGGCGAACGTTCACGGGAAAATGAGCGAACACGTTGCAACGTTGGGAAAGAAAAAAAACTGCCGAAATAAGGAAATCGGTGGAACAGTAGGCGCTTGCAGTCGTCACTTACTTCGACAGAAATCGGCATCCTGTAGCGAGCGGGTCTGGTAGAGCGATCACTGATAAATCCCGTGCTTATCGGCCTCTGTGGCTGCGTCCGCCGGTACTTTTCCATTATCGATCCCCCGCGTATCGTTTCGCTTTCGTTAATTTCTCATTTCGACAATCTCCGGCCGCCTACATTCGGTCGACGATCTTTCGGCAAGTCCAAGAGCACGGTATGAAGTTCCTACTTTCTGAACGCTACGTAGGAACTCTATACCTCGCTGCTGGATCTCTACCATATATGCGTACGTACCGATCGGTACCTCTCTCCTCAATTTCCCTCTCGTTTTCGATCTATCTTCATGAATCTTCTTCGCGCCAGACAGTTAGTCACTTCACGAGCACTATTCGGTACACGCACTTCACGCACTATTCTTCTTCCATCGTCTCGATTTTTTTTTCGAACCATCGATCACGAACCGTCCTAACAGCAGGATCGTTCTGAAGGGTTGATTTTGGATACTTTCGAAGATGATTTTTATTCAAGGATCAAGGAATAGAACGTTCCAAAAGAAAAAAGTGCGAACAGAACGATTAAATCGAGGTACACGATGAAAAATGATAGATTTCGAGGACGTGGTCGAAAATGTATTCGGCTGCGTTTTACTGTAGCGAAAGAGTAGAGGTTCCTTCGTGGATAAGTCGTGGAGGGGAAAAGGATGGAGTTTGAACAGTTTCGTAAAACCTGCTCGCACGGAGGCCCGTGAAGAACTGAAGAGTCTCGAGGGGCATCGACTAGAAACACACACGGCGAGGACACACACGGCCCTCCGATTTCCCCTCCTTCTTTCGAGTCCACCGGCGACACTGACGCCCCTGGCGGTGAAGAATGACACGACGTCCGCGGAGGAAGAAGACGAAGAAGACGTCGAGGAAAGGGAGACGGGACAGGAAGAAGAGGATCGCCGGCGTGGATCTCGGAGGATCGAGATTACCAACGATCAAGGTTGCCCTGCAAATCAGAGGAAGATGGATCTTTTTTTTTTCTTCTTCTTCTTCCTCTTCGTCTTTCTTCTTTCTGTTGGGACATCGAGAAAGGCGTTGGATGGATTTGGTGATGTGGCAGGTTGGAAGAATGACAAGCGATTTATCAAAGTTACTCAGATTCGAGATAAGAGGAGGTGTTTGTGTTGGTAATTGTGATCGTCGCGGTTATTGATATTGTTCCTGTACGCGGTGCAGCTGTGTCGAGAGATGATTTTGAAATTCTTCCGTAAATACAGTTGTCTAAAGGCATCGTGAAACTTCCTGTTTTTTTCAGATTACAGAGATTGGAAATATGTGAAAGAATTATTTCGTACGCGCTCGAGTATGTGATTTTGATAAGATTGTGGCCACCGACAGAGGGTAATGTTATAGGCATTCTTTTCACTTTCTTGGAAATTCGAAAACGACCCGGTTCGCTTTTAGTTTCATTGCAACATTTCAAATCGTTTGAATTAATGAGAACAATTTGATTTAGAATCACTTCAAAAAAATATATCGTTCAAATAGAATTCCCCTTGCTAAAATATAAAAATAAATTTACTATGGCACAGCAGTACTTACGACATTCACTAATTCCTTTGAGAAAGGTCTGAGAAATGTTTGTTCACCATCCTCTGATCACAAATCATTATAATTAGCAACTGAAAAGCAATACAAGTCGAACGACACCGAAACACAATGTGAAACCATGGTCGAAGGATCAACAACAATTACACGCTTAGGCGTTCGATGAATAATTCAAAGCGAGAGGCAAGAAAAACACAAATTCGTGAGTATCGATGGTTCATCGTATCGATTCGATGGAACGAATCGCGAACGTCGATTCGACTGATGCACCTTGGATAAACTTGAAGAAGAAAAGAGACCGTCAACAACAGATAATCCGTCGTTCAAAGGAAAATCGAGTCAATTGAACGATTCGATTACCGAACGATTAATAGCACTAGCCGCTGGTTGCTCGCACTTAAATGCATTAGCCAGATCAACGTGACCACCAGTGAGTCAGTCGAATGATATCATTGCCGCGCGATTAGAATTAACATAAAACAGTTTCGTCGATCGCCATCTGAGGCACGACGCGATCATAATTGCACGTGTTCGCACAGCAATCTTTTTTTAAACGATCAAAAACGGCTGACGTAGGAAAATTTCAGTTGGAAATAGTTAGTCTTTAATGATATTGCAGTTAATGTAATAAAAGAGACGACAGAAAACATGAATATTTTAAAGAGTGGTTCTTACAAATTAAAATAAAATTTCTATGTAATTTTAGCCACCGATGACAAGTTTATTTAGAGAGAAAAAAACTTGGAGACTAGAAAACTAGTATGTAGGAAATTGTCTGTCTCCCGTCGTTTCCTCGGCTAGTGGAGCCAATCGGAGCATCAACGATGCTCGGTTAATTATTCAAAGCAGCTGGCTGCAATGGACTCCCGCTGAACCAATCAAGTCGAATAGAACGAGGATAGAGGGGTGTGTTTCGGGAGACGGAAGATTAACACACGGAACGTTGTCAATAAAAGGGAGCTTTACATGTATCTTTCTTTCCTCAAAGATGGAATATTTGGACTCACTTTCCAAAGGAAGAAACTTTGAAAAATTATGAATAATTTTATTGCTTGGAATCGAAGGGTTAAACCAATAATGGTGGAAGAAACGAATTATTTCTTCAGCATGGTCAAAAATTCTTGGTTCCCCAAGAAAGGTTGTGGTTCGCCTAACAAACACATCAGACAGATGTCTAGCAGTCCTACTTGCATATCGAAGGAACACGCGCAACGTGCACGCATCTGAGACGAAGGAACCACGAAATAGGTCGGCCATGTGTGAATTGTCTTTAAGCTGTCGCAGCCACGCTACACGTGCTCCTATACGTCCCTCTTCCGCAGTTCTCCACATCCCGTGGGAACTTTTTTTTCCTTCGAAGAAAACTGCTGCGAGCCAAGCATCTTCTACGCATGTTATACCCTTCCATGACCCGTTGAAATTGACGCGACGATGAAAATTTACCCGTAATTGACAGAGAAAGAAACTATTTATCCAGCAAAGAATTTTATAATAGGGGTAGAAATGATCGAGCGCGAAGATTCTTCGGTGTTTCTATTGTTAGGAAAAATATTTTCTTCATCAGCGCTGTTCGAAGGCTACCATTCCCTAAAAATGTTTTTATACTGTCAGAGACAAGTTCGATGAGAATCTTCCATAATTTAATTCCAGAATCGCCTACACCTTTCCTATACCAGTTAGGTGGGAATCATCTTCCGTCTTTTAAAATGGTCTGGTGATACTTTACGAGCTAGACGCAGTCATTTTAGAATGTTTGAGATGATACTTTCAGTACTCGTCGCCAGAGGGACATTCGCTAACCTTTCTCGCTAGTACTCATTTAATAATTCATTACTCATTACTATATAGATTTCAGTATAAACATTAGCAGTATGATTCACATTTCAAAATCAAACTAAAATTTCATATAATAAAAAATTTATGAATTCAGTATGAAGAAATATTAATGAAAATGTGAAAAGTAAACTAAATGTTGCATTTTGAAATGCACGAGTCTAATGTAAATATTTTAATTATTTAATTATTTTATCAGAATGAATAGAATCTCAAAAAATTAGAAAACCAAGTCCCAAATATTTTGTCACATCTTAAGAGTCTGTTAGCAGCTTTTCTGTTCTATCACCATCAAATAAATTCTATAAGATCCTTCTTAGCCTTAGAAGAACCAACAGGTATCTTGATCCTTCAAGCTTCTAACAATTAACACCTAGTTAAATGCCAAGATCCAATACCGATCACGAAACAGCCGAGCAGCCGGTCCAATTTTCTTCCACGGAAAGTCTTGGAAAAAAATCGCATAGTTCGTGTCTTTGATAGAAGTCAGATAGTCGAGGATACGGATAATCTGGCCCTCGTAGGCGTTCCTCTTTTTTCCCCCGAAGAGGGCCGGCAAGAAAAAGCCGAAGGTAGAGTAAACATAGGCTCTCACCAGGCTGAGGATAATTAACCCGAGCGCGGGCTAACGAGTCCCACGATTCCGCGGCGAGGATCACGACACACCGCGATGACCGAGCGGCAAAAACGAGCGGCTCGTTCGTATGGTCGCGCGCGTTTCGCCGCTCCGCTTCGGCGGGATGAGCTACGACGAGGAGAGAAACTCGCGTCTACGTACGCGATATCGTTCTAGGATCGCACCTGTTCTCCTATCTCCGCGCTCCTTTCAAACTCTTTAACGACTCTTAGCTTAATCGGCGTCTAAATTACACGGGCCGGCTAGTCGCTTCCGGGGCACGTCGCGAAACCGCTTGATTTACAAGATAATCCTATTTTTTTGCGCGGAGTTTCCGAAGAATACACGCGAGCCTATCGCGATCTCCTTCGGATAGAACGGATTTCCTTATCGTCGAATCGCCGTTTAATATCAGTATTTTCTTCGCCTGTGTGTTTTTCCCTCTGTTTTTTTTTTTCCACTCGTTAGCTGATTGAATGTAAATAAGCGGCGACTTGTAAATGAAAGCCGTCGTAACTTTTCTGCCGCCGTTGCCGTCGAAATTTCCATAGTTACGCCGTGTTTCCGTCTGAATACGCGGAACTAACGCGAATCTGTCATCGTTCGTCTCGCGTTTATCGCGTCGGATGAATTCCACGTTGAACGAGCGAGCTAAATGTATCGAAGGACAGCGACGAAAGAAGATGGAGGTGGTAGGAACCACGTAGAGCAGGGAGGGACAGGCCAACGGAGACCCTTCCGGAGAGATCAAGGTTGCAAAGTAACTCCGATGACGCAATCGCCTGCAGCTGCATCCGGCGACATCTAATTGCTCTCGCCTTGTCATGCCAGCGGCATTATATATCGTGGTTGGCCGATCTCTCCCTCTCTCGGGCACCCTCTTTCCTCCTGTAACCGTGGACCGAACGAACCGTTCCACGGCCCGAAAGGAAGGAAAGGGGACCCGCTTTCGAGCAACCACACGACCCCTTAAACGATCGCGCGTCCAATTTGCGCTCGGCTACGAACCGGCGATAAAGATTCGCATGGTACTTTGTCCGGTTGCGATAATTCGTAATCTGACCGCGAATCGCGCGAAATAAATAATACGGATTCGATGATATCGATCGATGTCGAAAATACAGGCGGACGAGAAGTTGATTCGGCAGACCTTTTCAAATTATTCTAATTTCAAAGTAAATTACGTTCCTAGAAAATATCTTGAGAGACAATACGACTAGTAGTTCGATATGGTACATTTATTATGCAAGAACTTATGTGCATATTTCGCGAAGAACAATATCAGTTATTTAGAATTAGAATGTCTATTATTCTAATTTAATGCACGCTCAATGGTGACTTCATTATTGCACGTCTTAATTAAGCATGTCATCGATAAATTTATCGTATTGTAAGTGACAAATGCTTCGAATGACCGACTTGAATTGAAAAAGAAGTCAAGGTTGACCAAGTATAAAATTATTCCCTTTATACTGATTAATAAGCGTTAATTAAAGATAAAAGCATCCAATTTAAAAGAAATAAATATACGAAGTTACGCCTATATCGTGCAAGATAATTAGTTATCGCTTCCTCAGAAAGTTTCAACGAATTAAATATGTTCTAGTCGCACACGGAATCGGCATTAATTAAAATCCAATTCTAGGATAGAATCGTGTTATTATTAGCAGCGAGGAGGAAAACAAGCCCGGTTGGTCAGTGGGAATCGCGCAACTCGCGGCTACTTGAACGATTGAACACCGCTGCCGGGCAATAATGTTTTTCCCCTCTTTTTACCGCAATATCGATCCACGATCGACACACGGCCGTAACACGCTGCAATTTAGAAGATGACTCGGCAAATAAACACGGGTACTCGCGAATCATTCTCGCATCCGCGCACGAGGTGGAACTCGTTTGCGGGTGAACGAGAGATCGGACACGAAGATTCGATTTGATCGGGGGCCCCGCGAGGAAGAGCATCGCCGGACCGGTTTCAAGGTGAATAGCAAGGTGCTCGGCCGTCGAAATTGCTCCGTGTTACGAGCTGGTGGCGAACGTTCGCGCTGGAACGTCCCTCATCGCGGACCAACGTATCCCCAGAGGGGAATGCGAGTATCGCGAAATGGGATAACCAGTTTCATTTCGACGCTCTTGCAAAGAAGATGGAAGCTTTTGGTAATTTGTTACTGAATTTCGACGGGTTACCGTTAACCCTTCGGGTACCCACAGGACCGGTTAGCCATTTTCATGTATATCCTTTGTACTTGATTTTTGTTTAATTGGCCAGAATTTATTAGCCACTTATTGGAAGAATAATTTTCAGAGGAACAGCGCAAAATGTAGAAAATATCAAATTAAATTAAAATTGAGACTTTCTCCATGGTCCGCCGTCCGGGCGATAAAAGGTATTTAATGTTTTCGAGATTTTATAAGTCACAAAGAAAAACAGTTATTCGCAGTAAGTCTATCCTTGATTTACCAGAGGAAAATTAAAAAATTCTTTCAGCCTATTAACATTTCGATGAGCCAATGACGTTTAAAGGCAGTCAAACCGGAAAGTCACTACGTTTGTCGATAGACTTTGTCTCCTTAACTACTCGAAGTCATTAGTCTCAATTATAGTTGATTGCGTCGAGTTTTCCTTATCTAGCAGTGATGTAAACACAGTAGGTATTTTCAAACGAGATTCCATTAACCAATTCCATTGAAAATTCGTTCGAAAAAGTTTCACTTTCCCTGCAATTCTCGACCGGTTATCCGAAAAAACTGTTAGCAATTTATCAGCTAGGCCACTCGAGTACCCTATCGAAACGAACGGAAACAAACGTATCTGTCGGTGGGAAAGAGATAACGGTGAAACGAGCCGTGTTTGAATCAATTTTCGGCCGAGTCTCGTTCATCTCTTACGAGCAGATCGAACGCTGACATCCATCGAACGCTTCACGGTCCGTCGCGGCAATCAAACTTGTCGAGAGGATCCCGAAGAAGCAACCGGGGCCATTTCCAAGGGTACTCCGGAATTATGAAACTCTGCACGGCTATTACTCGTCTGTCAGGATAACGCGTAAAACAGAAGTTTAATACCCGGAGCAAGGTACTCGTACGAAATCGAGGATGCGAGATCCTGTAAAAACGCCTACGTGGTCGTAAAGGAGAGCCTCGACGGAAGGCGAACTGCTCCCCTCGCGGACTCCTCGCCGCTTCCGCTCTCGCATCCCCCGAAAAATTCGTCCCTCTTTTCTCTCCTTTCCTTCGACGTAACCCCTGCTAGCCGAGTCACGAAATATGGATAAGATTTCGTTTCGAGTGGCGACGGTATTAGAAGCACCGACACCGTCGACAAGGAAACGAGGAACTACGCTGTAATCCGGGGCTCCTGGGATCGAGGTATTATTTCGAGGTAATAAGGTGGATATTGAAAATTACTACGGTGAATCTTGACTTCGTCTGCAACAATCAGCTCTGTTTCTAGACTTTTGATGCTCTTTTCTTAAGGGATGTAACCAGGACCGGATTAAGGTTTCTAGGGTCTCGGGCTATTTAACCTTTGGAGGGTCCCCTTGATTAATTGAAATTAAATAGCATTTGATCGTAAAGAAAAAGTGAAAAAAAATTCAGTATTTTTTGATACAGTAAATGGGACAGTTCTCTTTAGACCTTCCTTTAATCTAGATATTTGTTTTCTGTATAAAGAGATGCGGAAATTTGTGGAAAATGTTGGAGGATTATGAAAAATTGCAGAGAATTGTAAAGACAGTGGAATGATATTGCGATAGAACTGTCTAAAGTTTACAGTTCCTCTGTTACGGAATCTGTATTATTGTTCCAGGGAAGTTCGCTTTGAAAAATATAAAATCTGTTTCTGAGTTAAAATGAAAGGATCAAGTACAACTGTGAAAAAGTATGAAAAGCTTGCAGAGAACGATGAGGGGTTATGAAAGAATGAAGTCGAAGGATAAAGCTTCTTGTAATTAGAAATTGTTTTGTAAGATTGTAAAATAGTTGCAAAGTGCATAAAAATGTAGAATGGATAAAAATTTCCAGACTTCTAACTTGCAATTTTTTTAAGTAGGTATTCGAATTTTATTTAAAAAATATTTTTATACAAAATAGGGTGTGTGTTTCTACATCTAAAAATCCCCGAAGCTTAAAAAGCAAAAATAAGGCATATATGAAAAAACAGTAAATGGAATTTTGCCAAGGAGAAGGAAAAATATTGACACGTGTCTATCGATTTCACGAGGTACACGTGGATTTTGCAATCAACTCATCGGTGAATCATTGTGCACTTCTGAGTCATTCCTCCAAAGGATTACGTTAATGACATACTAATAGGAACTACCAGTTATTAACGACAAAAATGGAAGACAAAATGCCAAACTAATAAAATATTACCTTCATATTTTTTTTTCTATAAAGCTATTTAGTAAAACTCAAGTAACAACCTACATTCAAAATAAGCATTATTCGAATCAGTAATATTTTATCTTTTTAATAAGAAAAAGTAGATGTATACAATTATGTTTACGTTGCAATCTTCCTTCAGTAGCAAGAAATGATTGCTAACATTAACCAGAAGCATAATCGAACAAATGATGCAATCACGAAACGATATCCGCGTCCTTAAACTCGACTCTATCATTCTCGAATAACAAGAGTGTCCAATGACGGCATCGAGACTCCTAAACGTCCTGTACAGCCGTACATCATCGGAAAAAGATGACAAAATGGGAGCCATTGCGATGCATGTGACCCTGAGTGCGACCGTTCGAACCCCAGATCGACCTTTTCGAAAAGCATGGGGGAAACATGGTTAAGTGGGGAGTGAACCATAGTCAATGCAGGGTTGCAGACTCGTTCACGGTGAAAGTAGAACGAAAACCCCTCGAAATTTAATCAATTAAGCCACGCGCAACCCCACTCCCTTGTTCGTTGCATTGGTGACCGAAACGGTCGAAAGATTCTTACAAAATGGAAGAAATCAGCACGAAATCATTTAAATTGTCACTTTAATAAAAAGTAAAAAGAAGTAATATTCTAAACATTATAACATTTAATGTTTAGCTTTGAAAGAAAAATATAAAAAGATTATGTGAATCGATTCGATTGAAATTTTGATCTCTGTTTGAAAAAGCCATAAAAGTGTGCTGAACCCATCGAAACTACGCTACACAACATCAATAGAATCGATGTCAGGATGAAATAAAACTAGAAACGAAACCAAAAGAGGGGGACGAATGATGGAGAAAGTGTGGGCGGAAGGGTGAAATCGGACGCGTGACGGCTCTCCCGTTATATTTGCGGACGGGAAATCGGGAAATCGCAGAAGTGGAGCGCAGGAAATTTCCAATAAAGGGAAATCCAACATTCGGTGGCGGCCGGCTGCGCGCCCCAATAACAAAGCAATAACTATCGACGATGTGCACACGGCCATTATACGTGTCCTACCAGCATCCATGTAAACGTGGCTACGTGACTGTGTGGCCGGTGCAATTGCATCCCACCCTATCCTCCTGATCCACCCTCGCGTCCGTACGTTGCGACACATCGTTGCATGCCTCTCCCTACATATTGCAACGCGCGTTCCTTCGCTGCGTTGATATTCCGCGAGCAAATGCTTGAGTCACAATCGTCGCACGGGATAAATAAATACCGCGAGGCACTCGTAATCGCGATACGAATATTTTATCGACAGAGATTCTTTGGTTTGGATTTGTATTTTAGGTCGGCAAATTAATTTGCAACCTTCACATCTTTATCTGTGCATAATTACTTATCAAAGTTTAAACAATATACTAATTTTTATAATGATTTTATACTAGAATTCTAACAATTTTTTCAATAAACTGCTTGCAATAATTATAATAGTAACAGTAATTCACGCTATGAATCGTGGCATCTAACATTCCAGCAATTTAGTACACCGCATACCTTTTCACCGTTCGAATCACAATCTCAAGATCAAAAGCGGAAACTGGCATTTCTAAAGACTCTAACTCCGATCGCAAACTCTGTTGAATATTCAAACAAACCGATAACGTCGTGCACAAAGCATCGTTCATCAAAGAGGAAACCAAATGATAAAATCCTTTTATCTCCATCGTTGATTCTAAATAGAAATCAGGAAGATTTTACTACCGATAGGTATTATATAATTTTGCAACAAATTGAATTTCTCAATAAACGCAATATTAATGATTCAATAAATTACAAATTTATTTACAAATGAATAATTCTGAGGTGTGAATTTGTTGTTTCATTGATACAAAGGATAATCTACAGTGTTTGCAGTGTTTACACGAATCGTTGGATACATGAAACAACGAAAAATTCAGGTCGAGATCGTTGTTGCATTCCCCGGCACATCCGGTTCGATTGGTTTATTGCACGGCCGCGATCGTACGGTTTATCGCAGTCGGAAATGGAATTGTTAGGGGCGCGTTTCACACCCTCCGTTGACTGGCTAACCCTGATTTTTTTTTTCACCTCCCGTGCTCGATTTTTCGCGAACTGACCACGCAAATAAAAAGTATCGATGAATGACACGTTGTTGCAGCAATTGGGCCAACTCGTAACTCATCGATGAGGTGGGTGAAAGCTGAAGAGCATCCTATAAAAAAATGGTGTAACATTGCTCTTCGGCAAAACGAATCTGTCTTTTTATAACCCAGACATTATTTGATGTTTCTATAATATCTTGATGCAACCTTTGCTATTATTATATTTTGCTAAATTAATGTTTATAATTAATTTGAAAAAAGAGCGTAGTTTCATCGGTGACGAAAAAGTAACGAAAACTTCGGGTTCCTTGACGAAGTCGAGCGTCGAAACCCCATAACTCTCACCCATTAGGCCCATCACGCGGATCAATCGTCGGGCTTCAACGCGACCTTCGTCGTTTATTTAATTACCGATTGTACCCACCTACTCACCCCTGGTATGGCTTATTGTTATGACAGTCTTAAAAGTGTTCTTTAAAACATGAGATCGAGCAGTATTGTTTGCTTCGATTTGTAACGAGAATCGTACATACTCTACGTGTAGGTCATTAAACTTGTTACATCCCAGCAATTTTTTCACGTAAATGTTGTCATTATAATATCAATAAAATATACATCCCTAAATTGCACCCAACATCCGTCAATTCCAACGTTTCTATCCACGACTGCACAAGACACCTTCCTCAAGGATACGATCCTGAAGAATACTGTTTGACCCCATTCAAGCGAAGATATCCCCGCGTGGACGTCGAAACCGAGAGAAACCCTCGAAAAATCTCTCGATCTGTCATTGACGTGCCCTCTGACAATCCCGAAACCATTCTCGTGCCATCCATCTATCCGACTGGTGCATAATAAGCTGGCTGAGGGGTTAAGCGGGAGCTCGTGCCTTCCAATCACGAGAAGGGTGGCACGGGGCGAGGGTCCTGACGCGAAAGGACGCGGGGGTCGCAGAGGGGGGACGCGAACGGTGTTTTTCGACAGAATAAACCGGGGCGGTCTGTTGGGGGTGCATCACACACGCGGCATTTATGCGAGGATAAAAGAGGCCACCCTCGCTCTCGCGCAGCGCCATTTTTATCGTGTGCACCACGCCCGTAACCAAGCCCCAACCCAACCCTCAGTCAGCACGGTCAATTGTCCTTCCTGGATGATCGTGGGCTCGCGAACGATCCTCGTTTAACCTGGATGCGTGCAAACAAGAGAAAATGCTTTTGATTTTGCTCCCTTTTTATTTATCCCTCTTTCATCGAATCAGAATTTTCTAACGCGACGATCAACTCATTTTCTTTTTATCTTTTAATGTAATAGAGTTTTTTTTATATATTCTTAGATTTTTCTGAATTTCTTTCTCTCTTTCTCTCCCTCTCTCTCAGTGTTTGAGATTGAATGGAATTGGAAGAATTTGATTTGAAACTTGCCTTTCTTCACCTCTTGTGTTCGACGTTTCCTACAATTACACGAGCACACCGGCCATTTCTCATACGACTATTCCTAAGATCCTCGTAATGTTCTTGCGAACAAGAAGGGGAAGTGAGGGGCAAGTGCTCGTAAATAGGATACGACGATCCATCGTGACAGGGGGAGGTTAGCATCCCTCTATTAGCATATTATAGTGCGAACACGGTGGCGCAGTAGGCAATAAAGCAGACAAGTAACAGTCAACGGCTGTAATCCCCTCGGCGGGGCGTGACAGAGCGATAATAGTAATTCGAACAAATCATCAATTTGTTTCCTATTAAGAGCCTTAAACTCTGATAAATATCTTCTATTATTTGCAATAATAATGATTCCAGAGAATGAATGATAGTTAACGTGGCATTAAGAATGCAGATTCATAGAAATTAATTTGAATGAAAATTACAGTTTAATATTAGAATTTCTATGAAGCAAAATTATTTCTAATGCCAAGGAATCGTTAGAAAACTAAAATGCTATCGATATTAGCTGAAATTGTTTAAAATTATACGATAAAAAAAACTGAAAGGATACAAAGAACACTTATAGCGAAGAAGAAACGAGCCCCCAGGATAATTTCGTTATTATTGCAACTTCTGAATCGGAGCCGATGGTTAGATAAAAAATGAATATTCGCTTCAGTGACGTTTAGACTTGTCCAAGACAGTTTACTCGGCAACGTGATTGGTCGGATGAAGAAAACAAAACACGGGGTCCCGGTCTAGATTAGCGTCCTGGCCGGCCATTGATCTCGTTTTTCATTCGCTTTTTACCGGAGCAGGTTTTCAAGCGTACCGATCCGATCGGTGACGAGTATCAGGCGCCATAATAAATCGTAATGTTTCCGCAAAAAATGGAAGAAAAAGAAAATTTCTATCGCAACGGACGACAGCGCTCGCGGTGTCTTCGTTTTTCTTGTACATCCTCTTATCCCTTCCACCCTCAATCGTCCCTTATTTTAAAACTGGTTCTTCCCGATCTGAGTTACAGGATCGTCGGGATCCTGTTGTATTTTATTGAAACCGTAAACAACAAGATCGATCTTAACTGCGTTTTAATTCAAGTTACGGGGTCATTAATGGGGTGAAAGGCACAGTAGAAATGGACACGTCCAATTTTCCATTAGTAGTTCAATAGGGATGTTATTCGATTTTTTTTCCCTTTTAATAACCGTTTGATAATTCCTCGTTTCGGGGTCTCTGGGGATGAACTAGAGACCATTTTCCAGAAAATGAGGAATTATAAACGTGAATGTCATACGCGAAACAGCCAGGCAAGAGACTGGCATGCACGCACGTGTAAGAATAATGGGCGTTCTCCGGCGGGAATTACATGGCGGGAAATTATGAAGCGGCTGCTATATCAACCGTAACTCCCGAGGATCCTCGAGACGCGTTTCACACCGTTTCCGCGGCGCGGAAACCGAACAGCTGCGATAGTAATCACCACTACCGCCTACCTTAATGTTCATTGCGAGTAGCGAATAATATCCAAGCGTTTGTCCATTAAATTCCGCCATTTTAGATATCACGGGAGGGGTGTCTCGCTTCGTTTCGCAGCCTAAACGTGCACGCACAGCGTGTGCACGGGGGAGGTGAAGGGGGACGAGCAAGAATCGGCGTGAGGGAAGCGCGCGAAACAGAGAGGACAGAACGTGTCGCGTTAAAGAGGAACGAAGAGGGAGAGTAATAAAAAAGTAAGGCGCTATCGCAACGAGGAAGTCGGCGTTTCGCGGTTGCGTGCTCGGCATGAGCTGACGTCAGCCAAGATGGCTGCCGTTCGGCCCTCTCCTTCGTCATCGCGAAACACACGTATACACGCACGCGGGTCCCACGCGCGCGTACTCGCACGCACCGCAATGACACTGGGGGAGGTTTCGGGGCTGATTAAGTGATTAGCCGAGAATCAAGTGGGAGAGGACGGAGAAAAATCATAAGAAACGTTCGTATCTTTCCGCCACTTCCGCTCTATCTTCTACTGCCTCTGATAACTAGGCAGCAAGATTAATTTATCAAACAAATTCCTTTCATTAATATAAGTACTATTGCAATTCAAATTTGTATTTGGAAATGGATGGATACACGATGAGAAAGAAAATCTAATGCTGCTTATAATTGGAGATGTAATTAATAACTGAAGAAAAATGATAAATGTGATTTATAATCTGTATATGTATACGAAACTTCTCTTCTTGATTTAGAGTCTGCTTCGAAACAACTGTGAAAAGTTACACGTCAAGTAGATAGGTTCGCAACTTCCGGAGTGGAAGTAGTTTAAGTAAGCCGTGACTTAGACTTGGCTCAAGTACGCTCGAAATCTTTATTTTTGAACGTGATTCCTCCATCGTAATTTGCTTCAGATTAATTCAACACCGTTTGAAATTGCTCAGTGAATCAATTTTTTATTGAATATTTAAAATAACTTATTTTCGCAAGTAAGATACTTCAGCAAGATAAAATTTAATGAAATTTTCATTAAAACAACTTAGCATTGTATTTAGCTAATAATTTGCCATGAATTGAAGAATTATTTATACAGAAAAGAAGAGAAAAATCAAAAGTAAGCAATAAATCATTGGTATGACAAAATACTTGAGTGATACGTATGTCTTGAAGAACAGTCCTTCTTCAATCAAAAGAAACGATAATTTAAGGAAAAAGTAACCAGTCGTTTCGTGACAAGGCTATCATTATTCTTGGCAGTGTGCAATCAGACTTGAAGAACGTTGGAAAAAATCACAATCCGATATTTCTGAGAACAGAACGTTCCGATGAAGAAACAGCCAGGTGGTGTACAAGATAACATAAAATATTTATTGCCTCGCTACAATTCTAACGACAAATACTTCATTCCTACCCGTAATGTTATATAATAAAAAGATAATAGGAGGTACTTGATTCTTCAAATGATAAATTCATTTTTTTTTTAACTCCGAGGCAGCAAATGGCATAAGCCTTATTTTGAAATTCTATATTATTAATTTTGGTTTGCTGCAATTTGTCTTGTTTGCTGTAAGTTCCAACACAAAATCTCTTTTTTATAAAAATATTTCTTATCGATTAATCATTACACCGAAAGAGAAATAATCCTGTTCAATGAAAATTCGCATTTCGCAACAAAAGAATCAATGGTTCGCGTGGAAAATTTCATTACACAAAAAGATACTCGCGATATTTTTGATCGGATTCGCAATTCTTTTTAATAGGTTTATTCGAGGCACAGTGATTGAACTCATAATTGCCTTTGATTTGGTGAATTGCAAACTTTTCACATTGTTTTGCCCTCTCGACTACCTTTGATTCGCGAACGTTCAATTGAGTCTAGAAATTTTTAACATTTTGTGAATTCGTTTCTTCTGAATGAATTTAATTATTCCAGCAATGAAAAAAACAGTTTTGATTCCCTTTTCTTTGAGCAAACTGATCATTCTAGCATGAAATTTTCATTCATAAAATTTGTACAGAATCTTTTGAAGTTTTTTGTATAAAATTCTTGAATGATTCCCCTTTTTCCCAGATTAACAATTTAAAAAGAGTAAGTTTCTCAGTAGTTAATGTAACCCATTCATCAGACTTTCCAAATATAAAATTCTATCCATTTCAATAATTTATCTCTATTGCACAACACATTAAAATAACTAATAATTAACCGTAATTATAAAAAGTAATTCAAAGAATGTACAAGTAGAATCTTTTATACATTAAACCAAAAGTAATGAGACTCGTTGTTTCATAAGTTAGATTGGTAGCTCTGATAAGAAACAAGTGAATTACTATAATCTGTGAACCTCATTAAAATATGCAGATTGTATATATCCTAATCATTCTAAATAACGTGGAGAACATAATTATTAGACGAATAACCATTATTTATCGTCAATGTAGCTGTATCAAGCAACTATGTATACCATGTTATTCAGTACCTCTTCTCAGTCTCTAACAAAGGGTTATTGTTTTTACCCTGTATTATACATAAGTAGATAAATAAATTATCTTGCTCGAGTGCATCACAGAAATAGAACTCACCCCATGACATTATACTACCTATCCGTCAACAAATTTTTAATTACAATATCTTAGCTCTTTTATTCCAAGAATCTTAGTTCCTACAACTTTGTTTTATTTGCAAAATGAAAAATGTCAACGCCTTGTGTTATACTGTAGGGAGCTGGAAAGAATTCACCCTGGAGTAAGAGGGGTCCTCCGCGTACACTGGTCGGCTTTCTAATTTTACACAAGTCTAATTAGCAAATATGACTGCTTCACCAAATGATATACTACTTCTTGTTTCCCAGCTCTCTACAGTAATAATATAGTTATCCATGGTACCCAATGACTACTTCATGACAAGCAACTATAATTAGCGAAGGGGGTGATTATTTCAATTAGAAATCTTGAACTTTCAACAAATATTTCATAAAGGAATAATATTATTTTACTACCGATGCCTCGAATAACGAATCGAAGCCGAAGCTGCGACACAGAACTAATTCCCGTCCGACCGGTGAGGTCTGGCCGGTTAAGAAGTGACGTTAACGAAAATTTAACGGTGAGTTAACAGCACGACACGCTGAGCCAGTAACCTATAAATGCGTCCACCGGGGGTTGAACGAAAGCCGCGACGAGAAAGACAGAGGAGCAAAAGGGAAACGAAATGAGCGACCGAGGGAGGGGGTCCAGAAGGGTAGAGGGGGAGATCTGCGAGCGCCACCCTTTCGTATGCAAATTCTGGAACACCTGGAGGCAAAGGTCGCATGCAAATCAGCCCTGCAGCCATCTGATCGGACCCAACCGCGGCTCCCCGTGCAAACACGTGTTTTTTACAGCCTCCGAAAATCGTGTCGGTGTTCGCATATTTCTTTTTTTCTCACTCCCTCCGGTTACCCTGTTTTTTTTCTGTTATTTTTTTTTCCATTCTACCACTCTTTATCGCACGAGATTTCGAATACATTTTCACGCGGTTCATACCGAGGCGCGAGTTCTGTTTGCCGACAAGCGAAACGATTTTCATGACAAATATCAACAACTGGCCGCTCGTTGGAAGCCGACAAAGGGAAAAAAAGACCACCATGGAGGTTTATCAAACTTTTTACCCTCGCTTGCCTCGGCATCCACCCATTAATTCGCGTACGCGTGTCTCCGAAAGGGGAAAAAAAAGGTCGGCGAAAACACCGAATCCGTTCGCGAGAGCCGCGAATCCACTATCGGGACGATTAATTCACCGACGGACCATGGAAATTCGCGGTCGATGAACGCTTGTTAGAATGCGATCAAAGTTATTCTACCGTTTATGTCGATTTCTGTGGTACACGAGTATAATTTCGCGGTTTTATTCTGTGTACAGTGAAGGAGTCCAAGGTGAGAATTAATGGCGGGTAATTTTCCACGATCGACGATAAAGCTGTCGATCCGAGTTATAATTGATTATCGATCAGTTGCCATGCAGTCGTAAATATAGTCCTATCGGAATGATTTATCCCTCTCGATCTGATCGCGTTTGTGCAACTACAAGTAGGTATTCATCAAAAGAACGTTGAAGAATTTCTTATTATCAGATACAAGCAATTTAGAGCAATTAGTGGAACTAATTCAAATTCACCAGAACCTCGTTCTTTCAATTCGCTGTGTTTATTAAATTAACAGGGTTGATTGTTTTGGATATGTGATTTGAAAATGAATTTAATTCATTTAATTCTTTTCATTAAAAAGAAATATTATTTTGTAAATGTTATTTTCCTTCTTTTTAAAACGGTAATGAATAGAAAAGAATCAATCTATCCAAATAGGTTCACGATTAACGATAATTGTCTTCGTTGACAAATATTGCATGAAGCGAAAATATAATCTCAACGAAGAAAGGAATGGTAAAAGTCGCAATACAGTAACAACCAATTTCCTAAACAGGGTATCCTAACTCTGTATGTATTCTACTGGAATTACTATACACTTTACAACAAGCATAAAACGAGGCTTGAAATACCGAAAGAAATGTTTTTAGTAATAGTCGAAGGATATAAAACGAATGAGTTACAGGATGATACATATGGGCGTGGGGTATCCAATTAACTCTTTATAATTATTATATTATAAACACGTCCTTTTTACATGAAAGGATTTTAAATGCAAATATTTACAATGCGTACAGATTAAAAAAAAATTAAATATTGAGCTTAAAATTATTAGAAGTATTCTAAATAAATTGATTTTACTGTGATATAATATTTCTGTAATTAAATCCTTTGAGAAATTAAAAAATCTTAGTGTTTTTCTACGATCCAAAAGGGGAGGATTTTTTTAATACTACTTACGACTAAAAAGAAAATGAAAGAGTGGACGTACGAAGAATCGTTCATGGGCCTTTGGCCGCGCTTTCTAATTATTCTCTTCGTTAACGACTCCGGCTCCTTAGTTGGCCAACGTGACGATACAAATCGTAGTTTCTTCCATACATATGTATGTGTGATGTAAATTCAAGTAAACACCGCGATATGAGGCCGACCCGATCGGATAGAGACGTCACCATGGGGTTAAAATACGCCTTGCAGGAACTGGTTAATTATACGAGAAAACTCGTCGATTTTCTATCGTGTTATACCGAAGAAAACAGCCCTGAAAAAATTCTTAAAGTTCTATCATTGGTCCATGAATATATTTTCAATTCTAAAATTTACATATTTACTGATTTCTTCAATTTTTTCCTTTAGTTTCTTTCAAGAACCTTCTTTGTGATCAAAGTGCGTTACAAAGTTCCATTTATTTCAAGCTTTATCCGTGATTTTAACTTGAACGCAGTTTTAGACAAACGTCTCGCTAGCTACTGCACTTTCCAGGCAACGTGCAAAGAAACTCCTTTTTATACCCCCTTTCAAAGAAGTTACGGGGGACAGACACGAGGCTGATAGGCACGAATTAGCCTGAAACGCGGCTCAAAGTTCGGCAAGTTCGACCCTCCTTTGCAATTATTGATCTGATAATAGTCGCGGGCCAACCGGTGCACACGATCCGGCTATTTAAGTTCGTTACATGCACGAAATGAACTTTCGAGTTTCCATCGGCGTTAAACTTTTTACTGGCGAGCTCGCCTTCCTTGTCGGCTTAAATAATTGAAACGTCCGTCTGATCTCGTTGCGAATACACATTTATCTTTCTCAGACATAGATTTTCCCAATTTTTAAAAATGATTTATCAAATTTCACTGATTTATTATTCAAAATTACCATTAATTTTCACATTAAGCATTTAGTACCCAACAATGGCAATTTATCAAACATTATTACACCCATGGTTCAAATTTATTGCTATAATAATTATCCGTTATCGACAAACAAGAAATAGTACCATAATAAAGAAATTAATCCTGTTTATCCAAAAAATTCGTGTTAGAAAGCTGTTTCGCCGTGTCCGTCCAGCGATTAAACGGAAAATAATTATCCGCTTAGCTAATAAATCAATTGTCATTTTTTTTCTTTTGATGATACTTTTGCACGGGTCTGTGTGAAATGTCTGGTAATATTATCATTCCCGGTCATGTTAGTTGTAGCGGGTTCGCGGGCTTATTCAAGCCGGCGGCGTTTATCGACATTGCGTGCGCCGTGCCACATGACGCTCAGGAATTTTTTAATGGTGTCCCATTGCGCGGAGGTTCGTTAAATTTCACGGAGAAATATGTCTCGTTCTGGCGTGCGGTCCGCGCGCTCGTAAACACGCGGTCGAACCTTAAATTTTTCCTAATAAGGACATGCTATCGGGCCCCATTATCGTCCTACCCGCTCACTATTGTCCCGTTAAGACACACCGTAATCGGGCAACGTTCCAAATAACTCGTAATTAATTATCGTCGCGAGAAGATTATCGACGGACAGTTACGAAGTACCCTTTTAGGGACTGCTCGCCCTGTTCCCTTATATTTTCTTTCCATTTGGATATTCACTACGTCGTCGTTCCCTGATAGTTATATCTTTAAAAAGAATTTAGTGAAAGACTGTATTATAGAATACTAAGAATAATTATGGATTAATTGAAGTTACTTCATCAATATTTTCAACAGCAAATTATAATGTAAAAGAAATATTTCAAAATTTTTGACAAATTCAATTGCCTCTCAACTTTTAAAACTTCAAAATATATTCAGTAATAATTTTTAACGATTTTAATAATTTTAAAGATATTGACTGCGTTTTTTAAATATAGCTCAAAATAAAGATCAATAAATATGCAATGAATCGTTTAAAATAATATTTTGAAAAAAAAAAAAAAAAGGAGTGGTGCTATGAATAGAACCATCTTTATCCTCCAAAGAGTTTTAAACAGAAGACAGAGAAAATAAACACGATCACTAACGTTATCAACGCATTCCTGAATCGTGCTTCAGGGTCCAAGAGGAATTAACTGGCGAACGTAACTCATGGCAGTGAAACGCGAGGCCTGCTCATCGAGTCATTGGCCCCGGTTTTACGACGATGACGTGGTCTGTAAATCGTGATTTTTATTGCGCCACGATTTTCGTTGTGCTTTCGAAACGGTAAGCCTTCGAAACTGTCGCCAGTAGTTCTTTGACCTTACCAACGAGAATCAGAAATACTCTTGATCGGCGCTATAATCGGAAGATACTTTTCAAGATCATTCGCTTTCTTCAATCGAAGAAATCAATCGAATAAATTTTCATAATATAATTCTGTGGTATCGTAACGACCCACGAATGTCCTTATCGTCAGCGAATAACCGAGTTAACGATACAACGATTTATAAACGATCAAGGGACGATTCGAGCATGAAACCAGGGGCTGTACTTTTTTAATTAACGCGCCTTTAATTAGCGGTAAAAATCGTTTCGCTTAAGATTTCAAATTGAACCGGTCTTGAGATCGGGCAAGGGGAACGAATAACTGATCTTTGGTGGATAAACACACGGTGGATATGTATCGTTCCTCGTTCCTCTCTCGATCCCTGTCTCTTTGTTTTCTCATTTTCCTTTTTAAATTGACGCGGTGCACGCGAACGAACCTTCTCTAGGCTGAGCTCGCCACGACGATGGCTCATGTGAACGGCCAAGCAACGTCCATAATTAATGATAATTGTTCAACTAGCTTGATGGCTTTAATTAAAGGCAGTTCTGCAATTCCGCACGGCAAGCGTCCTCCTATTTTACCATCTCTCTTTCTTCGTCTTCTTTTTATGTTTTTTATTTTTTTTTTTTTTCTACCTCCCCCTATTTGCTCGTTTTGCCGACGAGCACGGTTAACGTTTTATAAACGACCGGCTATCGGGTCCCGAGATTAGAATCCAGCCTGGATTTGACGAATCGAAAACAAAAGGCTATCCATTATTGCCTGCGTGTCAGCATAATGAATGAAGAGCGCGGAAATTCTATGGTTTCGACGCCGTAATTACCCGCGGAACGCAAGAATTACCCCGTTAACGATTTCTTCGGAACCCTCGTTAAGCCGCTCGTACTCGTTACCCTCGAACGCTCTCTGTTATTTCGACGCGCTGTTTTTTTTAACTGGCACCTTTATTTCTTCCTAATCGCGTAAGAAGATCGACGACTTATTAATGAGAATCTTCTCCTGCTCCGTTAGTTTATGTTCTTTTTCCTTTTTCATTTTTTTTTTTTTTTTTTTTTTTTTTCTCAATTGATCTGAACCAATTTAGTTTTCACCTGTTAACAGGAGATCGGTAATCGCTTTTCAAAGCAGCTATTTAGTCGACCCATTATCTGTGATTTGATAATCGTATGGGGAATATATCGACAAGATACGAAGGAATAATTAAGAATCGTGTTATAAATTTGAGATAAGATGGTTCAGAATTTCAGAAAATATGTAAAATGGTAAAAAATTGTGTTCAAATACAACAAATTCCTCGATACAGAATTTAAATTAAAACCCAACCAAAAATCAAAAGAATTCCAAGAATTTCTTAGAGAAGAAGAAGCGACGAACCGGAACACATACTCAGCGTCCCTCGAAACGCTGTTATCCGAGGATAGAGAAAGATAGATCGTAGTCTAAAAGTCAAAACGATCGTTTTTAGTTATTTTTTTTTCTTCTATTAAGCCAGAGCCAATGTCCGCGTAGCTATACAGATTCCTCCGTGGAAGAACCCTTTAGCTCACGCAGGAGAAGAAGGCCGCCTCGGCCCTGCCATGTGTTTCGAATGAATTTACATGACGTCCCGGCGTGTAGCTATGTCACTTTTTGCCCGTGTGCGTGCGTACGTACGTGTACGTTGGCCAGCATGTGGGCAGAGATTCCCTGCAGCGGCAGATGTTGGACCATCTTCCCGTGTGCCCCTTCGAGATACGAAACTCGCCATGATTATACCCTATCTACCCACCGAGGACAGGGCCGTATCGTCTTGCTGGATTCTTCAGCGCCTTGATCCACAAAATGACGTAACACGCCAATAACCCTTCTATTCGCATAAATCGGATATTTCTATTTCTTTGAATCGACGTTTTTCACGGTTAATAAAATTTCTAGCTTTTAAAATATTTATAATCCTCTCGATTGAGAACAGAGCCGTTTTTCTTAGCGAATTATGAACGTTCCATCCTCTACTTCTACCTTTAGCTAAAGCAAACTCACGTTGCACCTGAGTGTGCTATAGGTTCCAAAACAATTTTGTAGTTTAAAGAAAATTTATGTATCAATACAGGATACTAATCTCAGATACGAAAGATTAATAATTTTTCAAAGAAAAATTGAATTTACATGAGTCATCGAGAAGGGGCGTTTTGAGAGCAAATATCCGGGGGTGTCTTGATATTAAGAAGGTTCTGCATGATCTTCAGTGGAGATTCAGGTTAATCAATCTTTAATACGGATACGAGTCACTTCACTGGAGCTATAGGATATTTTCAAAAATTTCATTACCGATTTATAGATGAATTCGGCCATGCACTGAACAAGCACGACACTTCCGTACAATTTCTCTCCGGTTTCGCGATGATTCTTACCGAAATCGCCACTAAGCAACATGCACACTTATCCAGTGTCACACCTGAAACAAACAGAGAAAAATATTTTATTAATATCCCTGTCACTTATTGCTTAAAAAATAAATTTGTCATTTGTATAACAGTCAACTTGTTAACGGATCAAAAATGTAAACCCATAATCTCATTACTTTTGGAACAGATCATATACATTTCTTATGGACAAAAAAGAGTGCGTTGTAGGTTCTCAATTTTCGAGTGAAACTACATTCGAACGAGTTTCTCGGGTTACAAGTGTACTCGATACCCTGTCCGAGAAAAATAGGATAATGAAAGAAAGACAGCCGGTAAATACGCGAAAAGTTGGTGGTCGTTCGATAACAAAAGAGCGTGACATGATTTTTCGTTGTCCTCTTCTTTTTTTGTTTTTTTTTTTTTATTTTTGTTTACCGGACTTCCCATGACATTTTTTTACATCGTTGTTTGGTCCGTATCGTTGCACCGATAATTCGAACCCTCGTTTCGAGACACAGGAAATGAGAGTGCGGTTTCACCATCCGCTCCCGCTTAATAATAATTATTATTATTTCGAGCCGAGGCATCAATCATACGGATTTCGTGACTCGACTCCGCGAGGACAAGACGTGCACTCCGAGTGAAAACGCGCCGAATTTAAAGGATCGCCAACATGTTCTCACTGATGGACGTTAATGAACATCAACGAATGACAATAACCGAACAAACTATATACTTCCGTTTCTTTCCCTCTGTTAGCAAGAAATCCAGTGGACTAGATCTTACGAGAAATGAGATAAATATTTGAAATACACAATGGATCCAAAAAGTATTTGCACACTTTTTAAAATAGAATAATTTCTTTTAAATTGGATCTAGATAATAAGTTTAGAAAAAATTGCAAAAATTATAATTGCAATTTTAAAAAGATTGTATTTTTGGAGCTTAAAAAAAAAAATTGATTGTATAATAAGAATCAAGAATCAAGCGAATCAACTGGCCGAAATTCCCTGAAATTAATTCAGAACCACTATGATCGTGCTGAAGGATACCACGAAGACTCTTCGGAGTACCGCTCGGCATCAGAGCGAAGATTCGTCTCGGGTGTCAACCCTGAACCAGCCGAAAAATCAGGATGGTAATTTCCTTGGTGTCGGCGCGATCGTAACGGCCGATACACTGTAGCCTCTAAATGAATTCAAATTAGCAATACCGTAAAACACCTCCGGGACGTGACACAATGTATCGTATACCGGCAACAACAACAACGAGCAACAACTACTTTGTTGCAAATCGATTCTGACCGAAAACCTAATTTCATGCTCGGTTCAAGACGGGCATCGGCTTCGCTGTTGGCGCATTACGTATTCCGAAGTTGCTCCGCCTTCCCATATTATTGCTCGACTCTCAGTGCTTTTTTCTTTTTTTTTTTTGTCTTTTTCCCGGTACCCCAGCTTCTTCTCTCCTTCTTCTTGTTCGTTTTCTTCGGGGGTTAGGTTATCAGGCTCCACGGTAAACCGAGCGTTCATTATAATCGCATCAAGACGAGGAGGATGATGTCGATGGGGAAAGGGCAACGGGCCCAAACCGAAGGAAAAAGGCACTGACCACCACGTTTCTTCGATGTAATTTTGTTCTATGACGTGCAACGACCTCGCTAATTCCCAACGGATTGCCTCGAGAATTTCTCGCGATTTTTGTTCGCGTTCTTGCCCATTTCATGGATACTCGTACACGGCCCAACTTCGGACACGACCGTCTCAGTAATTCTCGGAAATTGAAATTATATTTTCAAGATGGTCATTTTTAATATGAAGAAATATTAAATAAAATAGTTTATTTGCAAGGAGCAATTTTTTTAGTGTAGCCACTTTTGTTTATAATTCCCATCAAATGTTTTGTTAAATATTTTAAATGTAGAAACACGTGTTTACCAAGTAATAAATATGAAATAATGAGACGAGTCGCTGAATTCATGTCGGACGAATGTTTGCACGAAAACCAAAGGTATCTTTTCGAAATTTTATCCGTATCAACCCTTTACCCGCTCCCCTTAGAATAAATATTACCATGGATGAATCGACCGCGTATTATATTATAATGGCACGGGCATACTAATGGAATACGAAAGCAGGAAGGTTCGTCAGCGTCGAGAAATAGCAATCTGAAGGTACACAGATGGCCTGGAGTCGGCCTTTAACCCTTCGACGCAGAGATTTCAACGTGCGCGTGTCGAAGAACGATGGGTCCCGGTGCCTATTAATATTCCTTAGACTGCAAGATCCCGTGAGAAAGATCCCTAAGGGTGTTTTTACTTCACCTATTAGCATAAGGCGATGATCCTTTCGTTTCTCACGAATCCTAGGCCCGTTTATGCTCTCGATAAATGAATTTCATTTTGCACGTCATTTTTTACCGTTCAAACCTAACATTGTATTTTTGCTTTTTATCAAATTTTATTCTAATTTAATTTCCCCTGTGCATTTGATTATTTGGTAATTATGCAGATGATTTAAAAAAAAATCATGTTTCGTTTGAGTAGTACCTACTGCAAATTCATTAGTGTTAATTACCTGTCAGCTATAGAATTAATAGTGTAATTTATCATCTAAGAATGATAAAGTATTCTTTGTCCTATTTTTAATACAATTTGAATCTAATAATTTCGAAATTACCTAAGATAGCTAACGGTTTTCACCCTCTTGTAGCTTTCACCCTTTTACCAAGAAAATTTTCATAAAATTCCAATAAATATGGTACGTTTGGTTCGTCCTTATTTATGCACAATATTTATATGCCACGCATGACTTGAAACGGTGTATGCAGCCCTTGTGAAACTTTCGGGTATCGACCTAGGACGCCTCTAAAGGGGTGAGAAAAAGAATAGAGGATGCTAGCACGACACACCTGTAAACGATCTGGTCCTTTCAACTTTGCCATTCCCATTCGAGGATCGCCGATTTTGTAATATCGGTTCGACCGTATTCTGTTTCAAAGATCGTCTCACTGTATGGAAATTCTGACCTTTTGTACACGACGATGGACTGGAAATTAATACTTCGTCGACGATGAACGCATAACGAAAACCGAATTCTTGTCAACTTATAAAAATAATGTTTCATTCTTTAATAGAAATTCTAGAAAAATATTTCATTTCAGTGCGCAATAAATGTGCTGTGATTAAATATACTTATACAAGGAACGTACTCTGTAATCAAGATTTATTAAGACTTATATTCTTGAACATATGCCTACAATTAATTTTTATATGGCAATTTACACGGTAATAGATTTTTTTTTATCGTCCTCATAAAAGTCGAGAATTTTTTTTTATTATAAGAGATGTTAATTTCACAATGTATAAGTACAGTCTCTTGATAGTCAAAAGCCATGTTTTAAACATTTAAACGAATTATACTGGAAATTATATTTTAAATGCAAATGAAACTTTTAAAACATGAACTTACTGTGACCTGATATTAATATGGAGAATTGAACGTTACTTAATTCCAAAGCAATGGAATTATTCTGTTTTCAATCATTTTTATTATATAGCTAAAAATTGCATCGACTTTACAATTTATTTTACCGATGTTATATTATTTTATAAATAGAAGAAGTTGACAGATTTCCAATTGAATATTAGTATTTACTGAATTATTTCGTTTTTTATTTCTCAAATTAAATCCGTCCCATCAGTCACCAATAACCAACTTAGAAGCAAACATATTACCCGATATCGACTATCGTACTCATTTTCTTCAAACATAAAGGATGGTGCAATTAAACATACTAGTCGAACAGCATTCGACCATTAGGAGCAATCGAATGCACTTCGGTCGTCCGTCTCTTTATCCACTTCATAACGAAAAAAATCACTTTTCAGTGGGTCTGCCCACGCAATAACGATCCCATTAGTCCCCCAAATTGTTCTCTAGATCGCCACTAAATTATCCAATAAAGTGCAGCGCCGTTACTCTCGTCCAATACCCGTCATCGGTCATGCACGACAATGTTCAATCTTTTCGCTCGTGGCACGGAACGAAACGTCCCGTCGAACGATTATTCCTCTTCCCCCTCGTCATCCACTCTCCGTTCAACCAAAATATTCCTCCTCTTAGCGAGAACAAGCACCGAGAGGGAAAAGAGGGCGAGAGGGTGGAAAAGTTAGCCTCTAAATCCGTTGAGATGAAAAGAACGGAGCAACGAAGAGGTGGGTGATCGCGAAGGAAAAGTCACGTAAAACTTTTTTTTTCCCGGCTGTTGAATTTTTCGAAGCCCTCGAGATGGCGAGAGAGGCGGAAGTAAGAGCGAGAGGAAGAAGAAGAGGAAGGAGTGGGTCTCCGTCGTCGCGAGATCGACGAGCAAATACTTAAGGCGTAACCTCGTTACGCCGACAGCCAGTGGAAAAGCGAGAAAAATCCACTCGAATCCAGGCTGCAACGACGACGCTGCCGGCGGCGACGGCGCGGAAAACTCGCTTCCGGTCGTTCGACGTCCCTTCGACCGTGCGAAATACGGAGGAACGGTGATACGCGTCCTCCCGCCCGAAAAATCGGCACACGCGAATCGAAAACATGAAAATACACTACCATCCAAAAGTTTCAGTACAATTACTGTATTTTTTAATTTGGATGTAATATAGCGTCAATTACTAGGTTAAATTAATCCTAGAACACTGGAACCTAGGTCAGTTGTGACTCTCTCCCTTAAAATTCTGGCTCTCTCCATGGTCCGCCATCCGAGGATTAATACAAATACTGAAAATCGAATGAAAAATTTCTTACAATCGAACAGATACAATTTTCGGTCTAAAACAACCGAATTCTACATGACAACGAGTATTTTACAGAGCAAACTGTTCTCATAGCTGGAGCGTGAATCGCGTGGATCGTGATAAAAACTAACGCGTCAAAGCGTTCAGAGGAGACACTGAGTCACAGGAAGGCAGACGGACAAGAAAAAAAGAATCAACCGAGATGACAGTGAGGACAGCAAGACGAAAGAGAATAGCGTAAAGAGGATGAATCCCACGAAAAGGCGTTACTTCCCACAGGGACCTGCTTTTGTATGATTCCACTGTCTCTAATTACAACAATTTCAATTAAAATGAGTTAAATAACGAGCAGTAATTACCCAATTCGACCATGGGTAATTATTCATCATTAGAGTGTCATTTCCAAGATATTTCATCAGCAGCTGTAGGTGATATGTCTACTCTAACTGCACTTTCACTACCTGTACCATAACCAAACTCCAGCGACGGCACAAAACGAAGACGAAATTCTCCCAAAAATCCACAAATTACACTGATTTACACACCGGATGGTTGCTCAACTCTAACGGTATTCAAATTCTGAGACAGGCATTACATTCAATCATTGAAATTCCTCGAAGCAGCGCCCACGAGATTCGAGACTTTGCTGCGGAGGTTGGGTGCCAGATAGGAGGTAAGCAGCTCGAAAATGGAAAGGAGCTAAGCGTACACGGCACGGGCTCCGGTGTAATCGAAAAGTTTCGTAAGACGATTTTTTCTCTCGACGATTGGAGAGGCGAGGCCGAAGCCGAGGCCAAAGAAAGCCAGCAGAGGAGCTTTAGAATAAATCAAGTAGAAAGGCTGCGTGGGTCCAGGACTAGAAATATTCGGCACTCGCTTTGTACGAGGCCGCTGCACGGGACGGGCCAAAATGGAAAAATAAAAAAGAAGCCCGAGAGGCCCGTTCCGAGGAGGACGGAAAACGAAGCAACGGGAAAAAGAATGAGAGGTGAGCAGATACGCGGACAGAGAAGGCAAAAGGAGGCGAACGAACGCGGCCAGGCCGCGTTACGGCAGCTACGACTGAAGATATCAATCAACGGGCGCATTGTGCTCAGGGATAATTTGACGCGCGGCTGAAAGGGCCAGATCTTAAATTCCACGATCGGATAATGGCCCCTATAAGGCCCCGTAGCGGCCAGAACCTCCGGGGTACATGCACCGAACCGCAGCCTCGACGGGGGAACGCCGTCGTGTCGTTCCTTCGCTGCAAACCGGGCCCTACGCGATTATTGTCTTCCCTGCTACCCTCTAAGCCTTTATTTTCATCCGAGACACATTGTCCCGGTTCTCGGAACGCATTACTCAGAGAACCGCGTAGCGAATCGTTCGCGTCGATTTCATTCACCACGCTATCTGATACTCCCGCTGACTCTGAATTGAGTGCTTAAATCCCGAGACTTTTAAATCGGCCCACCATGCGCTCGACCGATACAGAGCCTACAAATGAACGCCGGTTGACCATTTTTCTTTTCCACCATTCATACGTTCGCGTGTTGGTTTTTGCTTCGTAAATAGAAGTCTGAATAAAGTGATTACTTTAAGACCGACACCCTCTAATGAACAGTTCACTTGTCAGAAAGTTCTATTTCTAACTTGCAGCATCATTTATTTGATCACTTACTTCATTTATTGAATGAATTTTTTTTACACACAAATTTAATCATTTTTGTCTATTTTACTGGAACACTTGTTAACATTATTTTATTCGTGAGTATAAAATTATATTTAAAAAAAAACTGCAAATATCACCGTAATCACAACTCTACTAATCTTCCCGAGGTGCGTATTTAATCAGCTCAAATTAGATGTCCTGCTATCTTATGAATGATTTAGCTTTCGTGTCATAGACCTTAGAAATAGCACTTCAACTTCACCAACCCGATTGCTAGAACATTTGACTTCTCTGAAAACACTGCATCAGCTGCACTTAAATTATATCATGTCCCGATATAACCAAGGGAAAGGAATTTATTTCGTAAAGTGGATACATAAATAAACTAAGATCGAGCGAACGTATCCCTGACAAATTGGAGTTTCAAAATCGCCATACGTAGAGCCACGATATGATTTTTCGATCGAAGTGTTTCTTTTTTCCTGCACACCACGTTGTAATTCACATTCCTATCGAACGATCGTAAATCAAAAGCGGTGTTCCACCATCGAAGCGGAGCGACTAGCGTCCGACGGGCAAAGGAGTCTCTCGCCTCGCTGTCAGCACGTTCGTTTCAGCTCGAAATTCTTCGAGATCTCTTTGCTTCGTTCAAATCGAGTTATCGAGCAAGATTTATGCGCCGTGTGCTCGATCGAACGGGATTTCGACGCTGTCAGAACGTGGCGCGATTTCGAAACGCGCCTCTCCGACCGCGATGAATTATGGCGGCTCGCGTTTTGTCCCGACGATCAGAAAAATCCTGCCTGCGATTCAGAGGCTGTTGCGTTAGCCTGACGGCGTAAAATATCGCGGCGATATCCGTCTCTAACGACTTGATCGCGTGTGATTAATACTCTTCCTGATAGTTCCCTCGACGACCGATCCGGACCACCGTCGATGTCCTCGACAACCCGATTCCAACGATTTTTCAGCAAAACGAGTTCCAATTCAATTCTGATCTGATTAAGCGAGTAGGAAGCCGCGAGAACGTCAAATACTTTGAATTAATCACCACTGAAATGCTGGTCGAGGAAAATAAAAAAAAAAGTGAAGAAGATTCAGTGTTCTTTCGCTTCGAAGAAATACGATTGCTAGCTTAAGACAAGAAATATTGGAAATTACATTATTTTATATTATATTCATAATAATGGAAGAATCATTTTTGAAGGAACAGTGTAAAATTTAGAAGATGAAAATAATATGAAATACAGAATTAAATTAAAATTGGGACTTGCTCAGAGAGCTACCATCGCATCAAAGGATATTCAGCTTTAGAATCTTAAAGTTCTTGTCAAAATGCCAGAACCTTTGCTTATCGCTGTTAAAAATTCAAGTAAACATATTTGGAAGATCATTATCGAACAGTTTTCCAGTAACTGTGCATTTATGCACTTGGTCAAATAAATCAGTGAATGCTAAACGTCAGTCAATTAATATCCGACTTTCTAACCAGCAGAATTGGGGTTTAAAATTTACAAGGCACAATCTTTCCGAAATCTTCGAACAGGTAGCCGCACGCGTCCCTTTTCCAAAACGTTCGACAAGATTTTTCCTCAGCCTGTCGAAAGCTGAATGAGACACTTGACTCGGCGATTCTGTCGAACACGGGATTAAGAGGCCGAGTGTAGCGCATCTACCGCCAGGTCGTAGCTATTTCGACGGGCACAATGCGACACCGGGGTTACCTGAACACGTGCTCCTATTTCCGTTTCGAATAGGAGGAAATTTTTCGAGTTTCGAGCTGGCTGACACGCGAAACACCGCTCTACAGGTGGACACTTCTCGAGCTCCAACGAGATTTGCGGTCAGACTGTTTGCCTAACAGGTGGATCTATTCCTGCCAACGATCACCGAGGAAACTGTTTGTCCAGCGTCCAAGTGACGCCAAGTCCTGCGGGTAGTTCGAACTGGTCCACGTTTGTCTGAACAAATTTACCCAGTACTTGGTCTAGGAGTTTCTACTGGGACAGAAAATCAAGCGGAACAACTGATACCGAAGCGAGGAGCAAACTTTGGAAAACTGAGAGCAGACGGAAACGTCGAAGTTCGGATGTTGCATCACTTTCAGCGGTAAATACCGTTCTTCGAGGGTTTGATGAAGAACGACTTTGGGAACTAGTTGATAGATCAAACAGGCCTCATAAACTAGGATCTTCCGAAGGTATCCCATCAGTGATTAGAGTGACTTCCTTTGTGAACACCAGAGTTGTGTTTCAAGAATCTGTCAAGTAATCGATAGCTATTGGATATAAAATTAGAAAAATTCTATAATTACAATTTTAATAAATTTGTTAGTTTCCATTTTTCCCCTGATCTCTATAATTTCTTCGAAGAGGATAAGTTGAGAATAGTTTAGGAAAAAGAAAATTTCATCTACCACAGAACACTAATTCGAATGTCGCTTCGACCTGTTCGAACTCAGAATTTCGGTATGGTTTTCTTTATTGAAGCTTCGTGTGTTTCTTACCTCAAATCTTCTTCGATGTTTCTCCAAGATCTCGTAGCAAGACAGCTAGCTGCATAACACGTCGTCAATGGTACAGCTTTTCCCCCCACTTTTTCTTTCAAGCACACATTTTCGTTTCTTTTTTTCTCCCCCGATTATTATTTCGATTTCAGTTTACACTTTCCCGCACACGCAGCGACCCGGTGAAAAGGCATCGTCGTTCAGTTCCGAAGGCGCGAACGGTTTTCAACATCGTTGTTCGTCGGGTCGTTACATAACGGCACCACATACCCTGACGACTTTCGAGCGACTTCACCGTTTATAATTGCGATGGTAAGTGACGGTTCGGAACTACGCTCGTCCCGTTTTCACCTTTCTGCTTCACGGTTTTGCGAAGTGGAACGTAAGAGTGTCGGGTACGGATCGTTCACGCGATTCGGAGCACCACGTGGTTCGACGCGATGTCGCACAAACCGTTGCTACCCATCTCAATGTCTTCTCTACGATTTCACTATCATGTGATATCACTGGTCGAACGTCGATCGGTAAACGGAACTCTCATGTCGATTGATCGCAATCGGTCAAATGAGTCTGGAACGTGTTCGATGCTAACTTGGATCGTTGAGGGAACTTCTGAATATCCGATCCCTTCTGGAATTCTTTACCGTCTAAAATGCTCCCGCGTTGATCGCCTGCAGAGGTTTGAACCGCGAGCGTCGTTCGCTCCGGAAGATCTTTTCGAACATCTGTTAGCTTCGTGTCGACTCAGGGTCCAAAGAGTGTCGGACCTCCCTGAAGCTGTCCGCTTGTCATCGATACACGTCGAGTCTCGTGACAAGCCGAGCCGATAGGAACACCAATTTCCATCTTCCTGATTAATCAGAATATTCTTCGATTATTGGAGTCTGGACACCTCGGCTCGAGTATCTTCCAGCGAATTCTCGTTGAAATTCTTCTTTGTATGTTCTGTAAGAGCGAAGTGATCCATGGTCATCCAGACAATTAGGCAAATCCATCTCGGAAGCGATTCCCGGCTTTCCCAGATGCTGATTATTGCGTCGCTGTCCAGGAAGGGACAGCAGTGGAAGAGTTGGTAGATGAAGAGACTGCCCAGGAAGGTTCACACTGCCCGGCGGTCTGATCGCTGACGACTGAACGCTGTGGTAGCGTTTCGCCGCGTAGTAAGCCGGCTCTCACCCCGCCATCGACCTCTCTTTCTCTGCCTTTCCACGAGGAATGAGCAAGAGAGATAAATGATCGAAAGAAATGAAGAAAGAGAGAATGAGAGGGAGGGAGTGAGGAAGAGAGCGAGAGACACCCGTCCTTTTCGACCCACTCTGACGTTCTGCGCGTCCTGAGACCAGCATGCCCCCGTCCTCGTACTCGCTCCGTTCTCTGCATTCGTCCCCACCAGTTCCTTTTCACTCTATCCCCTCCATCGATCCTCATCTTCTCCCCCACTACTCTACTTCATCCCCCACTACCGTTCTTCGAAAGTTCCAACGATCACCGCTGGGCGGCACCAGCGTCCAAACTCTCGAGCGGGACGCCGTTCAAGCGTGGCGGGCAACAAAGGTCCCATCGGTTAGCGCCGTTACGTGGGAGAAAACGCGCTCCACTGGTTGGTGGAAGGGGAGTGGTAACTATGGGGGTGAGTCGTTGACCTCCCCTCTCGTCGTCCTACCACCCGTTTCCCCTCCAACTTTATCGCTCCTCCTCCACCCCCACCGACGTGGCACGTGCTCCGTTCCACTCTGTCTCGTGCCGCCGCGAATCGTTTCGTCTTCCTCTTCTGCTATACGCCGACTTCGCGGTAGGGGCGGTGAAATTCTGGCGGGGATGCACGAGAAATATTTCATGGGTGGGGAGCAGAAGGACTTCGTAATGTAACCAACACGCGTCACGCGCTCTCCACGCCGCGACTATGTTAATAACCCGGAGAAAAGCATCATGATTTCTCGGGAAAATCGACGCCGTTTGTCACATAGGTGATTTGAAATCGTGTTGAACTATTCTGTTTAAGTTGTTTGAAATTGATCAACTTTTTATACTTTTTTTTATTTTTAACAAACATCCACTCATTTTTGCTGGTGATACACTCGGTGGAATGTAATGACGCAGAGGGAACGAAGAAGGGTACAATTGGGATCAATGAGTTTGGATCTGGCGGAATTCATTCCGGTGACTCTACTGTTATCGAGCGACTTAGAATTCAGTTTGCCCAAGTTATCGTGGATACTGGAGACGTTCGACACATAGAGTTTCAATTCTTGATTGCTGGAAAACGTTTTTATCGTATTATACTATCATCGGTGCTGGATGTGTTTGTCACGCGGTTTATTTATATCTAAAATAACGAGCTTATCACTGCAGACTGCCAAGAATACACACGACCACTTTCAACTGTGCGACGATAACACGGCTAGTTTCGTTCCGACGAAATTACTATCGGAGGGACAACATTTATTCACACTATTAAACGTTTCCCGGATTCATCGACCGTGGTCTGATCAGCACCGCAATTTTCGTTTTATTCCTTTTATTTTTCAAGTTGCTGCCTCTAGATCTTCCCGTGTAGCATCGTAAACTCGAGTAGGCTGTAGACTCTAAAACCGATAGCAGGGCATGGAAATAGATTCTGTGTCAACTATACGGCCCTTGATGAACATTTACAGCCAAACGTTCACCATGAGGTCTAAACATCAAAGCTCGCATATCGTTAGTTGACCACTATTCCCGTCACTCGACCACGTGATCCCGAGTACCATCCAAATAAACCTAATCGCGCTATCCGTTTCAACTGTCTTTGCCCGTATACTCTTTCACAGACCACTTTGAAGGTATATGACAGATATAATTATACGAACCAAGGAATTTTGAACGATCTTGGGCGGTAACGAGCCATCCAAACGCCTCCGCGTTAAACCTCCTCCTCCGACAGCTTCCCCATCATCCGATCGCGAAACGATAATCATCGCGATCTTAAACGGTCTAAACGGCAGACACTGATTGATCACTTTCAACGTCACCTGTACACTTTTTCCTTCCCTCGGGGACATCGTTAAAAGAAAAAAAAGAAGAAAAAAGGAATCACCGAGATGCATGGTGTTAACGATATGGACCGAAGGATACCGCGTTTACTCAACACGAGAAGACCGCATCTCGAGAGAGGGTTGGCACGCGTTGAACTAGCTGTTGTCGAGCTCGATCGGTCTGCCCGGTGCAGGCGAGTTTCCCCTTCGCCACTTTCCCTGCGCGAAACCTACCCCCTCCCCGCGCCGCGATCTCTTGCCGAAACTCACACGAACGATATATGAATGTATTTTCCCCTTCATCCCTTCCCGCTAGTCGCGATACTGTCTCCCGTCTTCCTCCCCCGCCACGGGTTCGTGGAATTTCGGAATTCCGCGCGTTCGTGGCTCCACCTCTCCCCCCGTTACGAAGCGGGAAACCTTTTTTAAACTCCGCCTCGACGGTGTATCGAAACGAGAGGGAACGATAGAGAGGAAAAAAGTTGAGCAGGCGCGAACGACTCGACTTTTTCCCACTTCTTCTACGCTGCAAACACGTTGCACACCGAAACCCCGCCCTCATTCAACGGCCTCTCCATCGGCGCTTTTCCACCACGAGAGATTTTCCGGGGAATATGGCTCTCCTCGGTGTTCTCGAGTGGCGGGAGACGATCGTACCAACTGCCACCAGCTTAGCTCTTTTAGGACATCGTGCTGACATCTGACGGCTTACGTTTCACGAGACAGAGGTCTCTGCCATATTTTCCCCTCGCGCACTGCTTTTTTAAACGACACGTTTTCTCAATTGCAGTAATAATTAATAAATGAAAAATTTTATTTTTAAATGTCCGGGTAATTTTGCTTTAGAATTCTATTGGGATAGAAATGATAAAATTTGGGTGGTTTATGATATATTTGAATTTTAGTTACTTTGTTTAATATTATATGGTAATTATTGATAAATTGTTAATATTTTCAGAAGATAGTCGTATTTAGGGTTCCTACCATCCCTCGTGCAGGTAACAAAGTGTCCTTCCTTTTTCCCCAAGTATCGATTACGTTTTATAAAGTCACCAGACTGAACTTTGGCGACATCTGTCGGGAAAATGGTCAGGAAGAAAACTACCCCCTTGGAAAAATATGCATTCTTTCTCGTTTTACAACAATATTTTGCAATGTAACACTATAGTTTTGTGAATATAAAAATAGTTCAGTATGTAGGGTTGATTTAGGTAATAATTGGACACCAGTATCATTCAAAGTTAAATAATTAACTTTATATAATTCGACGGTTATATGTATTTGTTTTTACTATATGCCTCATTATTCTGCAAAAATTTTGCTTCTAATAAAATTTAGAATCAATCAAATGAAACTAAACTGATTGTATCAAATGGGGGTTGATGGTCGGTATTGCAACCCTTATTTTTCTGCTACGTCGATAAAGTAGGCAACCTTTTGATAAAGGGTTAAACCAAATATTAAATAATGAAATATTGCTAAATACACAAAGTTCATTCTTTTTACACAAAACTAGAAATTCATATTTTCTGAATTCTGACAGTCAAGGTGCGATACACTCCCCTGCTTTTTCTGTATTAAATGATAGTTTGATAAAATAGATGATAGTGTCATTTTGATATGGCAATGTATATATCAACAAACACCGACTATCCGTCTACGTTACGTGAATAGATTACACGGATAAGGGTTAAGTCAGTCATGCGTTGTAGCGGCGGCTAAGCAGAGAGGGAGACCGCGTCAAGTAGATTAAGACGATTATGGTCAGACATCGCTCTCGGCCGGTGTTTATCGCGTAACCGAAATGCCGTCGACGATTTTTGCCCTTACGGTATCGATCGTGATCGTGCGACAACGAGCCGGCCTAAAGTATGCCGTTTTTCGTTTCTGTTTTTCCTCGCGGCAGCTTTACGAGTTACGCGCATCTGTCAGTGACAGTCGGCCATGGAATTCGAGCGAAGCAATGCCCGGTATGCGCGCGGCTGTGTAACGCGTAAGTGACCACCGGCACCGGTGATAATTATGACGCTGCCGTCGATAAGTATCTTCTGGTTTGCCGGCGATAATTATGCGTGTGGGACCGCGGAGCCCATTAAAAGCTCTCTCTCTCTCTCTTTCTCGGAAGAAAAAGGAAAAGGAGGCCACCGAGACACGTTTCCGGTTACCGAAGAATGCCACCGCGACCAACCGGACCGACAAAAGAATCGCTCATCGAGCGACATAGAATTTCGAACCGGTATCCTTCGGCTTCTACAACCGTGGGAATTGACATTAACCTGTTTGTTGATTAAAAAATGTCTTCTAGGAAGATTAGTTAAGTCGATTCAGTTGGCAAATCTATAGAATTTTCAATAACTCTTATTTAAGCCTTGGATGGCGGACCATGGAGAGAGCCACAGTTTAAATTCAATTTAATTTTTAATAGTACTAGAATTTCAAAAACTGACAAATGTCCTTTTATGTTTTGCAATTCCTTTGATAAGAAGGAATGATCCTACGCCTATTTAGTTTTACTCACGAGCTTTCCCTATGATGGTCCAGCAATATTCGAATGAAATGAATTCGATCGTCGTTGCAAACACAGCCTAAAGCCTCGGTTAGAAGTAAACCGTTTAATCCGAATCACGTCGCGAGCTTAGCGTTTCTCTGTTCGACGGCTTTTAACGTTTCCCCGGCGAACGCTATCATAATATCGAACGATGACGTTGCCGTTCGATGCACACACGCCGGATTACGGATAGCCGAGGATCGGATCCGCGGACCATGAAAGCCCGGAAGACTAATTCGACATAATGACAAGGGCTTAAAGGTACGATCCCGCTGGCCTGATTGGATGCCCACGGCGTTTCGCAATACCTGGAAGCCCATTGGACGCTAGACACCCCGTCGTGGCGACGTCGCATCGAATCGGTCGTGTAACAACCGACGGATTACGCCGGCAGGCCTGTCCTGTCGCCGACCTTAATTGATTTCGTTTAAACGACCAGCAGCCCTGATATGCTTGCTCCGCTCGAAAGGCTTCGTCACCGTTCGCTAAAAGTCAGAAGACTTCTTTTTCTAGCCAGTCATCATCCCTCGAATAGGAGGAACTTTAAACCGATTATCTGCTTCGGATCGGAACGCAATCGTTGCTTCGAACCGAGATAAAGTTCGCTTTGGAGAAATTTGGAGTTTCTAATAATGGATTGACGATGGATGGGCCATGAATATTTATAAAAAAAATAATAATAAAAATTTGGCGTTTATATTTGGTTGAGTTACCAAGTATTAGAAGCTGCATAAGAAATGCATCGCACTGCATATATGCATTGCATGAGTGACGTTACATCTAACGCGTCACCACCTTGTACATCGACTATTCAGCAAGGAAACTATGTTTACGATCGTTCAAAACGATAAATAATCCAACGCATGATTACTTTCCCGGTGTTCATATCGGTGTCTGATCGTACCACCCTTATGTTCACAATGCGCAATTGCACAGAGAGAGGTCAGTCGGGAAATGTAAACCGTGAAACAAACACATGCGTCGTCGCGAAAGGAATAGGAGAGCTTTATGATGTTCTCGACGCACTCGATTGGCGATTATTTCTGGAAGTTCGTAAAACCCAGCTGACGACCAGATCAAATGCTTCTGGATTTATGAGCTTGATTCTAAAAGCTGAAACGTTTCGGCTTGGATGCCTCTTCGATGTGCAAGCGTAAACCACTTTTTAATGATAATCCTGGGAGGGAATGAAAAGCAAACAAGTTCGTGCATTATTAATTGGATATTTTTGTTTAAATCATCGGTATAAATTTATCCATTAAATAAAAATTCCTCCCCTAAAGTTTTACTCGATTATACGTAGATGCAGTTGGGTCATCTTCGAACAATTCATTCTCGATGCAATTCAAATAAATAAAGAAAATGTTTCTTTAAACAAAAATAATAAAAAAGTTGCACCTTTCTGCTGTTGCGGGAGGATTTGCCTTTTTTTCAAGGGTATCCCTAACCAGCCCTTAATTCGAAAAATCAACTTGCTGAAAGGATCGGTCACGCCTTACAGCATTTTTTGTGCCACCATGGAGAAAGATCGGCTTTCTCCCGGATTATGGGATTTCGAGTGCTTTTTTTCTTCTGCTCTTTGGCCCGTGCACCTGTATCTTGGTTCCACGGGATCTCCCCACAAACTGTCCATAGTTCGGTTAAGGACCGTTTTCCAGATACCTGGACCCTCGAGGGTCTACCTAAAACCTGTCCTTCGACTGGCTTCTCCATCGAGAAGTCGAATCATTGGTTTGCCCTCAGCCTATTGTGCTTCTAACGATTCCGTTTATGGGGTAATTTCGAGAAGTAGTCGAGATGGGCTAGCGTTTCATGGACTCAAAATCGCTGCATTTGAAATTGGTGGGTAGGGAAATCGAGATCTACAGTATCGATTCCCGAATAATCAATATTTTGAATACAATAGAAATTAAGGCCATAGATGAGAATGGTTGTTAGATAATAAAAACAGTAACCGGAAATCTATTTACTAATAGTGATTTTACTTTCCATTGATTAATTCATTGAGGATCAGATTTTCATTTATTACAACTAAAAATTTTTGTTTGACGATTCATCTGATTTCGCATTTAAGTATAATCAAATAATATCCTTCTGCTAATAGAGACCTCACTTCTAATAAACATCTTCAGCTGTCGATGACCCATGAGATATGCATTAATGCACTATTAGCAATGTGCATCTCATCAAGAGGACCTAATCAGTATAATCGGAAATTTTAATATAATGTGTTATGAAGTACACGACAACGTTAACAGTCTTCTAGTCTATGATGAACATTTAAAAACACCGAGAAGGATGTTTTTGGAAAATCAATGATATAGTGTCGATGCAAACAAACATCCTCAATGAATCCGAAATTTACGTCCAAGAAGACATTCTAGAAACAATTTATAAGCCTTTCGCGTGCGTAGATGATAGTCCTCGATAAGAAACAAGCCGACAGCGTTATTATTCAACGCTTTAATAGTATTATCTGTATAAAAGTAGGTGGGAAAATGCTAATGATTAATCCGCGGCTGTTGGCTGTGAGATGAGCAGATAGACACACTGTGTATTTCTCACAGTGGATACAATTAAAGCCTCTGTTAAAGCGTAACTGCACGTTTTCTTCGGGCTCTGATGTAATTCGTGTGGTAATCATCGCTATTCTTAACCAATAACCAGCGTAATTAGCTAGGATGCCTGTTTATACCTGCAGAGTAAGAGACAAATGGACGCACATTACGCGTTTTATGCTACCTGTACTTCTAAGCCGGACGCGGTGCTTGGTAAAATATCATTTCAAACGGTAAATAGTGATCTCGAATCATGTGTATAACTGTGAAAATAGAATATTTTATTAAATATCCAATTTGTTGTATTCAACATACTAAATAACGAATTTCAAATTTCATGTAATTAGTATTTCACTAAATTAATCAAAATCTAACACATAGTACGATAATTATGGATATTAACTTTTAATAGTGCAAAATTAAATTTAAATTATTGATTTTTCAATGGCTCAACGTTCTAGACTCAAAGTGCATTAAGTGCATAAAAAGTGCATTCCACATTTCTATAGACTTAATGTATACTAGAATAATTATGGACATAATCCACTGTCTAAAGACTAAAGCCTAATTTTTGAACTATACTTTTTTCGACGTTTCAAATGCACAAAAAAAGAATGCATTCCACCTACCTATGAATGTTTGAAAGGAAGCTTGCACCTTGCATCCTGCCCCAAAGAGAAGAACAACATCGTTGCACCACAAGGATCACTCGTGCACTGCCACCAACAGCGTAACGCAGCTGACACAAAACTGACCTGCACCCTGTGGCCACGCGGTTCTTAGTGGCTTTTTTTTCTCCTTCACACACGCATTCTAGATCCACGCCTACCCGGACGAAGGGAAAGAGCCTCCTTTCCAGTGCATACTCACACCGACAGGTCTACTAAAACGAAATTGGCCCTTGAAAATTTATCTTGTCCGGGCAAAGATTCTGGAAGTCGACTTCTCGGCGCGTATAATAACACAGTGCATTCTAGGCTGATAGAGAATCCAATGAGAGAAGGGAGAGCCAGAAGGAGAGGGAACCCGATAGCGTTAAATAGTGTACGAAACGCTTCGGGGGATTTCAACTCATGGCTGTGTAAATATGTCTATCTTTTTTTCTCCTCTGCTTCTTTGCTGCATCGAGAAATACAAGTTTCGTTTTTCCTCTCACATGTCTTCGTATACGGAGTCTGAATTGTTGAGCAAATAATGGAATTGATATTGTTTACCGTGGGATATTGCCGATGGAAAGGAGACTCGAAATATGGGGCGTTAAAGAAAGGAAAAATGGTTCGAGTGTCTGGCTGGTTCAAATGGGTCAGAATGCTTTGAGTATTTTCACATTTCAAATGAAATTAAATTATTCAAAAAGACTGTGGAAAATTAAATTAGAGGAAGAAGCAATTTTATAGAGATTGGTTACATGAATATTTTTCAAAGGAATTTTTATTTTACATGCGATGCAAGTCGACATCGATATCGAATCAACCGCGAAGTTCATCCATGGTCAACAACCCCTATCCTACTAATTAAATCTCTTCCCTTGTTAGATTTCAATTTTAATTAATTCCGTGATAAGGGACTCCCCGCTGTCGAACGGAGGTTCGTACCATTCTCTCGTCGAAATTCTTGGCCATTTTCCCTGACGTTCCTTATGAAATATTAATTTTTTTATTCTCAGAGGAATCTTAGAAAATCGAGTTGTTAGAAAAATTCGAGAGACATACACAATTGCATATAGCAACATTCAGTGAATTTTTCTTTGAGACTGGAATGCAGGTTTGTGTTTCATGAGGGCTATTTTAATTTCTGTGGTACGAATAGAATTCTCTAATAATATTCATTTTTCTGACGCAAGTGTTTACTCGATGCTTGTTTATCAAGAATGTTTCGTTATTACGAGTATTGCGGAAAAGATGATTGAAGAAACTGTGCAATTAACGAGAAATGCATAGTCGTGCGTTTAATTAAATTATCTTAAGGTTAATTACACGATTGCTTATTAAATGGTGGATAAAGATTGGAAAAATTTGACGCGTTTGCGGAACTTTGTTTGAAGAATCGAAAGGTAGATGGTAATTGTGAAATTTTAATTTAGAAAAGATTGCGAGGTATGATTAAAATATTTGAAGTATGCGAGGTTTAAGTTAAAGCAGAACCAATCGAAGACGTCTAATAGTGAAAGGATATTAAAACAGGAAAATCATTTGGTTTTTCTGTGAAATCGATTAAACAAAGTATACGATCTCATGAAACAGCACCGTTCGAAACGGGATGAAGATGTCGAGGTGCATACCGGAAACAGGAGAGTCGTTGCCGTGTACGAGCTAGCTATCGCGAACGGCATACAAACAACGCCACGGAAATGTCTCCTTATGTACGATTCTCCGTCTCTTTCCCTTTCTTTTTCTCTTCTGTTTGCTGTTTCACTGCTCCACGCTACACCTTTTTCAGCTTTTCCAGCTAGCGGTTCGGGTCGTAAAAGTCCGGTTAACAGCGGTGCTTGGCAGACGATCGACAATTTCAGCGTGGCGGAAGAACCCTCCAACGACCGGAAAACGATTCGAAATCTTATCGGTCCCGATCGCTCGTTTCTTCCCTCCTTTTTTCTGGAAAAATTGTCATTCTAATTGATGAAATCTCGTTTCCCCATTGTGAAAACAAACTCTCGCGTTCCTCCATTATTTGGAGAAAAAATATATTCCAATTTCTAAATACATAATGAAACACCTGGAATATTCTAATTTTGTTTAGGTAATAAGAAATGGTAGAATTTTAATTACAGGGGCGAGTGTACTCTCTTAATTTCATGTTAAATTATTATGATTAGAATTCTGCTATAATTAGTACTCATGAAAATTAATCTCAAATCGAAATTGACCCAGTATTAGTTAGGCAAGGGTTAAATATCTACGTTAACCAAAATATTTACTCTAACGTCTCCCGATGCAAGATTCGTGCTTTATTCCACTTGGCTTCGGTGATTCTCAAAAAAAAAAAAAAAAAAGGAAAGAAAAGTGAAGAAGAAGGAAAAGAGGATAGGAGGAACACTCCCAATCTCGAAGGAGATCTTTGGTAGGCAGATGAAAGAAGCTGGAACGTAGACAGACGTGGTTCGAGATTTAAGAGGTTTAGGCCTGGCTAGAATGCACGAAATTCGTTTTATGGGGGTCCCTTCTTCTCTAGGGACCGGGCCCCGAAATTGGAGAGTGCTCGCCTGTCTAGAGAGGCTTCTAGATTCCAGATACCAGAGGAATAGGGTTACTGGCTCGGAACTAGCAGGTGGATACCGTCCACAGCATGTGAATACCCTTCCACCTAACGGGTGTCGAAAATATAATACAGCGGAAACTGGTTTGCTCCAACGATAACTTGATACGTTCGAAAAATATCGCGTAGTCGACGGTAGCTGTTGGGCCTGTTAAATATTAAGCGTATGCAAAGTAGTCCTTTTTCATTTCAATATTCTGGTAGAATTATTTTGAACACCAGAAGCTGGTAATTAAGAGTTGCATATACTGAAGAATAATTTATTAAACGAGCGGTGTAAAATTGGGTGCCTCTCCATGGTTCGCTGTCCGAGGGTTAAGCATCGGTAACAGTTAAATTTTCTACTTCAAAAATTGAATTTCAATGTCAGTAATGCTGAGACATTTTGAACGTAACAAACGACAGTAAAAGTCCAAGGGATTTCATAATCTCTAAAGGAATGTTCTTATCCGAGGTGAGGCAAAGGTAGCAAAGACTCGCAGAGGATTCGTGATTCTGATAAATATCCCAACAACTTCTCTCACCGTTATCTTCTTACTCAAACCGATAAAGAAGACGGTCGATAGAGGGATCGAAATTCCAGAAATCCCGCTGAGCACACAGGACGCCATAAAACCGCCCCCGTTTTCTTCTCAATAATTTATTTATCCCTTTATTCTCACTGTGAACACCGCGCTCTAACTCTACGCGGACCAACGGACGCGAACCAAAGGGCGAAGGGTTGAAAAAAGGGAAACGCTGTCTCGGCTTGTTCGTTTTTCGTGTTTATTTCGCACCATGTGTTCCACACGATTTCGAAAAGCCATGTTTGAAACGCCGAGGGTGGACGTTTGTTTTACGGGACAGAAGGGTTGCTTTCCGTTCGTTTGCTTTTATTTTCGAACTTCTTGCGTAAACATTCAACCAACGGCGACGTTTCCATGCGTACTGTTCACGTGTTCAAAGAATTATAGTGTATTTCTTTTTCAAAGCAAGTCTTTTTATAAATAACAAAGAGAGGGTGGGAACGTTTATTTGAAGCTGGTGTAAGAATATTAGAAATAACTCGAGCTACATTTATCTTAGAAACAACTCAAATTAAATACATAAGGAAAATTATTTTTAATTTAGAAGAAAAACTTCAGAACAAAATTTTCTTATAATCTCATATAATAATGAGTTTGGTGATTTTGTAGAAAAGGTGCTTCCTCTCCGATTTTGATGATTTTTAAATATGTTGTAAAATTCTTAGAGGAGAAAAGTTGCTTAAAATGTCGAATTTTACAACGTATTTAAAAATTATCAAAATCGGAGGGGGAGCGCCTTTTCTGCAAGTTCACCAAGCGTTTCTTTAATCGACATTAGCTAACGGTGGACCAGCTTGTTAAACAACAATGTGCGCTGAAACGTTAATGAGTTGCGCTAATGACTAATAAAATCATTCTTCCTTTTGATTTTACGCGACAGTCTGGCTCCGTTTTGTCGACAAACTGTACATCCGTGTTCCGTTAGCGAATGGCAGAAGCCGGTTGAATTTACTGTTGAACGTCGCGACGAAAGTACAAGTATCATCTTAAGAATCTAAATTCTAAGTAGTCGTTGAGAAACTTTAGTGTACACTGTACATTCGCGATCAAATGAAGCTTTTCTGGGGTAAATTGCAATATATGGGAAGCGAGAATTCTCATAATTTTAAATTTGACGATAGGGTTAAGCACTACGTTATCTTCAAAGTTAGGAACATATTAGAAATAATTACTTTGTTCATAAAAATATTGAAGAAACCTGTGTATATTAAAGAAATACATCATCCTCAGTGAACTTTAGTAAGATGATAATCACCTTCGTGATTTTCAAGAAAATGAAGTGCCTAACAGTCTATCACGGAAATCTATTGCAAATTGCGAACGTGCAATGAAGTGATGTTGCTAGAATACATCATCATTCTTCAAAGCGGGATAAATTAAACTTTCAACTTTCAGTTGCATAAAGAGGTTACACGTTCGCGATTATTGTATCATCGCGTAATTGATTATCATGCAGAGGTTAAAATGAGGAAATAAAATTTATTTTTACATTATAATTTTTATATGATAAAATCTTTCACAAATAGAATAATTAATTTTTTGCTGTATAGAAAAACGTTTCTTATCTTTTTTAATTAATAAACCTTGCATGAGGTATACAATTAATTACCCATAATTAACTGTAATTAGATACATATTTTATATCCCTTATGTTAATAATCGGTATTAAAAACTATATTAACTTTTAATGACATGAAAAATCTCATGTCTCCGGTTACACCTAATAATCAAGGGATTAGTAACCAATTAATTAATCTGAGCTATGAATAAGTTTCACCAGAGTGAATGTAATGATCGAAACAGCTATCATTTAAATCATAGAAATGAGCTTGTATCTCAGGATTTTAAATGGTACATCGTTCAGAATACTTCCAATGACATTTGATCGAGTGAACGAAAGAGGAAATGGTTGCGTGGAAACGAAATTGAGCGACTGGACGAGCAATCCTGTCGAATAAAAGGGTAACAGCGCACATCAGGAGCAGTAAAGAGGACGCTGAAGAAAGAATAAGAGGGGCTCGTAAACTGTAAACGCCGGATGTATGTATCTACGTACGTAACATTGCTTCTAACGACCGATCGTAAAGAAACCGATGATGTATTCAGAAGGTATTCACATTTAAATATCTCCATCTGTTTCCGCGCAAAACAACCAACACCAGTGGTATCAATATACTAATATATCCTCGTGTCTTTTTGTTTGGACAGTTCTACTAGCAAAATATTTTATTTCTTACGTCCACATTGCTTAATCTGAAATAAAACAAATTGTTTATTTATTACTTGAAATAATATTTTATCTAGTACTGAGCTCGATTGGATTGCCTGAAAGATTAAGTTATAACCATTAAAATAATTTTAAATCTTTTCTACCGGAAATGAAACCAGTTTTAATTATTTAAAAAAATCAAAAACTTGACCATTAAACAGAGCTACAAGTGTCAATGAATTATAATCCCCTTAGAGTCCTTAAACTTCTTCCTGTTAGTATCATAAAAATGAATGATCCTTTAAATAATCTGTTACCTTGCGTGAATCGAGGCATAACTACCCATGGGCGTTAATTAATGTTCGTTCATTTATCGATTCCGGAAACGATTGATTAATAAGTGTAACAAATTACGGTCGCAACGTTCAAAGGAGACGCTTGTAGATTTATCCAGGAATACTCGTGCAATTTTTCCCATAACTTGTCACAAGATAATCTAGTACTTCCGGTGTTCGTGTACCGGCAAATGTAAATTTCTTTGCTACCGATAGATAAGCCATAGGCGATCTTAATCGTGGATATATAGCGAAAAAAGAGACTTTGCGAACGCGTGTTCTTGCTTAATTCCTGTTTGAAATCGAATGGAAATTATTCCACGCAGCGGCGCGTAATTCGACGAGAAAGGATTCGTCGATTTGCGAGAAACTCGCGGTGAGACGATCGATCATCGCGGGAACCATTAAGAGCGACAGCATCGATCATTTGTCAGCTTCATTGTCGACGGTTAATTGCCTCCTCGTTGGTCGAATGCTTGTTACCAGAATGTTGTTGAAGATACTTGACTAATCGCACGCTTTACGTCTTCGTGAAAAGCGGCAGCCGCTTCTTTTCTAATTAGCATCCAGTCTAATTGAGACGTTCAATTGTGCGGTTTGTTGTTTACTAAGATTCGTCTATCGAAAGGGAATACCTTTTGACCCATCGCTCAATGGAACAAAATCATCTTAAGAAAATATTGCAGGAACCTCAGAATTTTGTTTTTTCCAAAAAATTATCACCTAGATAGGAATTTGTTGAGAGTACGAAGGTGATGGCGTTTGGTTGATATTAGAATTATGTATTATCTAAGAGATGGAGACACTATTATTGTCAAATGTAAGTGCCAACAGTAGAACCCTTTCCCCTTTCCTTTTTCTATATCAGTTCCTATTCTGCGTTTATCGGAAAGCCGTCGATCGGAGTTTAACCGGTGAACTGATAACGTGTGCGTGTGATAATTAGCGAATATATATTAATAGAATTTTCCCCAAGGAACCGTCATATACTTCGGAAAATTGTAGCTACCAGTGCTATCGAGAGTTTCTCGCGCCAGCAAAATTCGCGCAAGTTGCTCTCGCGATAAATTCTCGAGATCGATAGCTGATCACGCGTTCCAAGTCTCAAAGTGAATCCATTCTATCGCCCGGGGCTTTCGAAAATGATGGAAACGGCGGTTAAGTTATTATCCGCGCTTGTTCACAGGACGAAGGACACACGAGACATGAGCGATCGCGAACGTATGCAA